GACGGCGTAGGCGGCAGCCCCTGTGGCAGTGGGTTGCCATGGGCTACCGTGTGTAGCCAGCAGCCAGTGTGAGCGGCCAGCAGCCGCTGTGAGCAGCCGTCCAGAAGCCGGCGACTGATCTCGCCCAGGAAGAGCGCAATGATGGTGCCAACTCGGGCCAGTGAGGCAACGTCCTCCACAACTAGACTGAAGAAGAAAACAACAGCAACTTGTCTGTTCCCCTTCCCCTAAATCCCCAGCGCTGTTCCCATCCCCCAATTCCCCAATTAAAAAAAAAAAGTGTAAAGAGGTAACTTCTTTTATTGGGTTGTCGGAAAAGTCATGACATATTTTTTCTATGTTTTTCATTGCAAAAATGCGTCATGTTTTTCTGACAACCCAATAATTTATAGTTGACCACATCTGACAGGGAAGTCTAGTGCCCTACATAATGGAATTATCAAGGGTCAGTAGTAGGGGCCCTTTTTGTCCTGCATTTGGACCCCTAGTGGTCTGTTGATTTTTTTAAAAAAATCATTTAAAGCAAGAATAATAAGAAAAGGACACATAGATGCCTGAAATATTTTATTTTCACTTAAAGCATAAATGTACATTTATTTGCTTTTTTTTCTTTAATAGAGCTAGGGGCCTTTCTTTGACTAGGAATCAGCTGATTGGAGCTCACCTTTCTAGCATAAATCACACTCATAATCCTCTTGGTGTTCCCCAAATTTCCCTGAAGATAAAAATCACCCCAGCTGTTATTTTATAAAACAAAACAGACAACCCAGAAAATCAGATCCCGAGGCCCCACTCTAACATTTCCTGAGTCAGAATTTCTAGGGCTGTTTATTTGTATATTTAACAAGTGACACGGGTGACTTTTATCATCAGAAAATCTTGGAAAACACTGGATTACAACTTCTGGTTTTGATTTTTCTTTTTTTAAGTGGAGAAAACGCACAAAAAGAAACTTGTGATGCAATCTTTTCCACCTACAACTAATTTAACAGAATTATTTTTAGTGACTCTCTCTGTCTTTCCAAAGTGTTCAATTAGTTTTCCTAGAAATAGCCCTGTTTTAACAGCTATGTTTTTGCAGTTTATTACATATTTTTAAATTGGATAATTACATTAACCACTAAAAGTGGGTTACTTTGTAACTCCTACCAGGTAGTCCCCGTCCAATCACAGGCAGTGGGTGACCTGGGCCTGTACCAGAGCCCCTCCCAAGAGGCCCCAGAGCCAACATACTTGGAAGTTGGCTTCAGACCACAGCAGAGCACCACCCAATTAGCTCTACAAGTGGCACACACAAAGGGTGGTCTCAACAGGCACAAGAGCCTGCTGGAGCAAATCCCATTTAGTGGGTAAGCCCTCACACAGCAGCCCATAAGCTGTGGATGTGGCCAAACCCCACAGCCAATCAGCCTGAGGATTAATACTGCCCACTGATGGCCAGTAGTAATCAAGGCTCAAATATAACAGGAGGGCACACACGGCCCACACAAGGCACATTCCTGGAGCATCTGGAGCAGGTGACCAGGGAGACTATGCCACTGGGCCCCACGGGGTACCTACTACATAAGGCCACATGGCAAGAGATTTAGCAGACCTACCTAATGCATAGAAACAAACACAGGCAGCCAAAATGAGGAAACAGAATTATATCCCAAATGAAAGGACAGGAGAAAACTCCAGAAAAAGAACTAAATGAAATGGAAGCAAGCAACCTACTAGAGACAGAGTTCAAAACAATGGTTATAAGGATGCTCAAGGAACTCAGTGAGAAATTCAACAAAGAGATAGCAAGTATAGAAAAGGACATAGAAACCATAGAAAACAACCGCTCAGAAGGGAAGAATACAATAACTGAAATGAAGAATGTACTAGAAGGAATCACCAGCAGACTAGATGAAGCAGAGGATGGAATCAACGATTTGGAAAACAAGGTAGCAGAAAACATCCAACTGGAATAGGAAAAAGAAAATATGCAAAAAAATGAGGAGAGTTTAAGAGACCTCTGGGACAACATCAAGCGTAAAAACATTCACATCATAGGGGTACCAGAAGGAGAAGAGAGAATGCGAGGGATTGAGAACATATTTGAAGAAATAATGACTGAAAACTTTACTCACCTGGCAAAGGAAATAGACATACAAGTCCAGGAAGGCCAGAGTCCCAAACAAGATGAACTCAAACAGGCCCTCACCAAGGTGCATTATAATTAAAATGGCAAAGGATAAAGAAAGAGAGAGTCCTAAAAGCAGCAAGAGAAAGGCAACTAGTAACTTTTAAGGGAGCTCCCATAAGATTGTCAGCTGATTTCTCAACAAAAACTTTGTAAGCTATAAGGGATTGGCAGGAAATACTCAAAGTGATGAAAAGCAGGATCTATACCCAGCAAGGCTATCATTTAAAATTGAAGGACAGATAAAGACCTTCCCAGACAAGAAAAAGCTAAAAGAGTTCATCACCACCAAACCAGTATCACAAGACATGTTAGAGGGACTTCTTTAAGACAGAATAAAATAAAATAAAATAAAATAAAAATATGAATAATAAAATGGCAATTGTTACATATCTATCAACAATTACTTTCAATGTAAATGGATTAAATGCTTTGATCAAAATCATAGGGTGGCTGATTGGATAAGAAAACAAAACCCTTACATATGCTGTCTACAAGACTTGCTTCAGACTGAAAGACACACACAGACTGAAAGGAAAGGGATGGAAAAAAGATATTTTATCAAAATGGAAATGGAAAAAAAACCCAAAAAAAGCTGGGGTAGCAATACTTATACCAGACAAAATAGCCTTTAAAACAAAGGCTATATAAAAAGAGACAAAGAAGGCCCAGTAATCCCACTTCTGGGGTATTTATGTGAAGAAACCCAAAATGCTCCTTTGAGGGGACGTGTGCATCCATATGTTCATTGCAGCATTGTTTACAATGGCCAAGATGTGGAGGCAGCCTGGGTGTCTGTTGATGGATGAGTGGTTAAAGAGGAGGTGGTCCATATATACAATAGAATATTGCTCAGCCAGGGAAGGGAATGGCTTCTTGCCATCTGCGGCAGCATAGATGGACCTGGAGGGAATTGTGCTGAGTGGGGTACATTGGACAGAGAAAGCCAGATGCAGTGTGACTTCACTTATATGTGGAATCTAAAAACCAAATAAACAAACAAATGAAACAGAAACAAACTCATAGATACAGGGACCATTTTGATGGTTGCCAGATGGGAGGGGATTAGGGTGTAGATGAAAGAAGGGGAAGGGATTAAGAAGTACAAATTGGTTGTTACAAAGTAGTTATGGGGATGTAGGGTGTAGCATAAAGGATATAATCAATATCATTGTAATAACTATGTAGGGTGTCGGATGGGTACTAGATTTGTTGGGGTGATAGGTGGGAGGGGTTTGGGGGCAGGGTGAAAAGGTGAAGGGATTAAAAAGCACAAATTGGTAGTTACAACATAGTCATGGGGATGTAAAGTAAAGCACAGGGAATATAGTCAATGATATGGTAATAACTATGTATAGTGCCAGGTGGGTACTAGACTAGTCGGGGATCACTTCTTAAATTATATAAATGTCTAACCACTATGCTATACACCTAAAATTAATATAATATTGAATGTCAGCTGTAATTGATAAATTTTAAAAGGAATGGGGGAACGTGAAGGGGATTAAGAGGTCCAAACTTTCAGGTATAAAACAAATAAGTCATGGGGATTTAACATACAGCATAGGGAATATAGTCAATAATATTGTGATTGCATGGTACGGTGTCAGATGGTTGCTGGACTTATTTATCATGGCGATCACTTCTTTAGGTATATAAATGTTAAACAACTATGGTGTCCACCTGAAACTGATATGATATGGTATGTTAGCTATATTTTTTAATAAAAATCTTAAAAAAAAAAGAAATGTGTAATTTGCTGACGTAGTATGTTGATTTACTCCTAACAGCTGTATTTGTCCTTCTGTTTCAGGTTTCATTTCCAGGGGCCCTGTGGAAAGACTCTTCCTGAAGCCCTTGCTCCTCATGAAACTGAAACGGTTTCTTAATTGTCCTGGGAAGGAAGAAATTATAGTGCATCTAAGTACCAGGCTACAAACAGGAGATAATCTGGTGGATGGTGAGATGAATACTGGAAGATCTAAAAATATCCTCTGATTCCCTGGCTGGGGTCCAACCTGTTAATAAGTGATAGGGCCTTAGACATAACAATAGCAAATGTATTTACAGGAGGTCAGAGAACTGTAAAGTTAATGCATGTTATTTGGTTTGAACTCTGATGTGTTTGGTTTGTTATTGGGAGGAGAAAAAGTTGTAATCAGATTGTCTTAAAAATGTAGTTAATCTCAACTGTATTATTGCTTTTTGGGCAAAGATATAAATAGAGGGGTAAAACCTTGGTATTTCTGATTTTTGTACAAGTTTTGGAGGAAAATAAAACCACTCTCTACAGTAGGTAATTTATTGTATAAAGATGTATCCCCAAGAGATATCTTTTTGGGGGACTTTTTCTTTTCAGTGTTTACCTTGATTGGCTGTTTTAGCTCAAAGTCTGTGGGATACAATAAGAACTCATGCAAGGAAGGAATAGGAAAGTAACAACAAGGAAAAAAGTCAGGATGAGAGAAATGATGCAAGTATATAGACTCCAAGGATAAACACAGCTGCCTAAAATTTAGCACTAGCCCTCTTAGCAGCCAAGGAGGAAAGGGAGAGGTGATGGCTGAACTATTTCTCAATATAAACATACAGTGGTGTCTGCCAGTCTTTCCCAGACACTGAATTCTGAAGGGAGTGTTTCCTATGGGACTTAACCTTGGAGTAAAGTAGTAAAAATACAATTCTTGCCTCAAGCCCCACCACCTAATGCAGCACCAGGGCCCTTGCAATGCCTGCTGTCCCACAAACATCAAAGTCCTGGCTGAGAGGAGCGACCTTTGGTAAAAAGTGTAGGAAGGTCACTCGTATCAAGGTCCCTTGGATCAGGTGGGCTCCCTGGGTGATTACACACCTGGGCCACATCACCTCAGCCCCTTACAAAACTGCATTTAATGTTACCCACCTTTGGCTCTTGTGGAAATAGACGACAAGGCATTGTTACAGAAAACTTTGTACTGCATTTGCAAGTCATACCTTTTAATAAATCCTGAAGGTCCTTTGCACGGGCAAGAGGGATGCTCATAACCTACAAGAAGTCTGAAGGGCCAGCCAAGCACCTTCATGGTCTGGTTCATACTTCACATGGGAGGGTCAATGCATGTATGTTGAGGGTTCTTGTAATAATTATAATGTAGTTTTTGTACATAAAATACCACCGTTCACTTAAAACATTTTTTTTAATTTTTTATATTAGTTTCAGGTGCCATTATTCACTTCTAATAGGTTTGTTGTTGGGTTTCTCCAAGTTAACTTTATACATTTTCTAGTGTTAGCAGTGATGGAAGTCAGCACACTGTCTCCAAGAGTCTGATTATATTTTTAATTTTCAACTTTTATCTGACCAAGGGCTAGACACTCTAGAACTATTTTTTGTCATTCCTATCATTAGTAAGACATGGATCTTACCCACAAGGAGTTCCCAGAATGGTTGGGACAACTGTCATGTGATCTATTATACAGTGTGGAAACTACAGGAAGAGAAAATTGTGCAAGGTTTGGAGGAAAGTGCAATTAGAGATGGGCAAAATGGGGATGAGGTAGATGTTAAAGTGTTTGAAAGGCTTTTAAAAGGGAGTCAGCCCGAGGTATAAATAGAGTTCCGCACTGGGGAATGTTTATCAGGAGAGGGGACAGCATGTAAAAATGCATGGCAAGTGTGAAACAGGTTGGTTTGTTCAGAGAACGATGAATCATTTACTGTTGCATAATGGGTGGGAGGAGAGATCACGAAGGGCCATGTATGCCAAAAAATGAAATATACTTGGGGATTAAATAAATAGTACTAGGGTTGCATTCACTAAGTAATAGTGAAGTCATTCTTTTACCAGACTCAGGATTTGCAACGGGCCAGACATTGTTCAAGGTCCTGGGGTTACAGCAGGGAACCAGATGGAGTGCCTACTCTCAAAGAGCTTACATTCAAATAGGGGAAGTCAAACTGAGAGAGGGTGTCGGTGGTGAATAGAACAGAGGCATGGGCAAACAGTAGTCAGAGGGCTGGTGGTCAGCGAAGCCTGAGAAGCGGCGACCGATGTCACCAAGCATACGTTTGGTGCTGAGGATTGACTTAAACCTGTGTCAACTTATTCTCGTCGGTGACAGCAGGACTTTAAGGCATCAAGGTCCTGTCGCTACAGCGCATTTCTTCCCTTTGAAACGCCACTTCTGGGAGTGCGGAGTGAAGGGCAGAGCCACATCTACAAATAGAGATTAACTGGATCAACCAAGCAGATCCGGGGCTAAAAAAAAAAAAAAAAAAAAAAAAAAAAAAAGCGGCAATAGGGCGACTGGGGCTTGTGTTCACCGAGTTTCTGGGCACCGGATGGTGTGACCCGCGTCAGCCCGCCTCGAGGATCGCGGGGACCCAGCCAATCCCTCTCTCAGCATCCCAGCCGAGAAGGCAGTACGATAGCTGTTCCCTGCCTGGAGACAAGCCCCTTCCCGCCTCGCTCTCCCAGCTGGTGTTCTGCAGCTGCAAGCCGGCAGGAATCCAGCGGCCTCCGCGAGGAAACGCCCCCAGGCTTCCCTTAGGCCACGCCCTCCCCGTCCTGCGCGTGCGCCTCCACTAGTCTGGGCCACCTCTCGCTTGCCGTTTCTCAGTGGGGCCTCCGAACCTGCAGGGGGCGATTACACCAGCGTCGCTTACTGTTTACGTCACCCTAGGCTTGCGTGGGGCTGCTTCCAGGTCAGAGGTCAGACGGTCCAGCGCGGCGTGGGCCATGGTGCAGCTTCGGCCGCGCGCGTCCCGCACCCCGGCGTCGGCGTCGGCGATGGTGGACGAGGGCCAGCCCACCTCGGAGGAGGAGGCGGAGCACGGCCTGTTGCTCGGGCAGCCCAGCAGCGGCGCGGCTGCTGAGCCGCTGGAGGAAGACGATGAAGGGGATGAGGAATTGGACGACGAGGCTCCGGAGGAGCTCACTTTCGCCAGCGCCCAGGCGGAAGCTAGAGAAGAGGAGCGGCGGGTTCGGGAGACGGCGCGCAGGTTCGGAGCCTACCCCCGTGCCGCAGTACCGTCCTTTCTTGTCCCCGCTTGTCTGTCTCCGCACTGACTTGTCACCCTTCCTTCCAGGGATAAAACACTTTTGAAAGAGAAGAGGAAGCGACGCGAGGAGCTGTTCATCGAACAAAAGGTTAGAGTGTAGGGAGGCGTCTCCTTTTTACAACAACCCGGCTTAGGGCAGAATTCCCACGTTTGATGCCAAAAGGCTGGTAGGATATGGGGGTGCGGGGGGCAGTCGCTAATATTCCTTCTTACATCGGTGAAAACAAAGATGTTTGTATTCTTTGCTGTCCACCGATGGAAAATGGGAGTGGGAAGAGTTGTGAGTTTGAAATCATGGTTCCTCTCATCTCTGACAGTCAGCTCGCCGTGACACCAGTCATCTGGCCTCGCGGAGGGCCTTTCCTTATCTGCAGCTGGGTTGCTGTTAGACTTAAATGAGGTGCTGTTTAAGCGAAGGGCTGTACAAACCGTAGAATAGAATTGTTCAGATAACTGATTACAGATGGACATGACTTAACTGCTTTCAATGTGGATCTCTGACCTGAGCGCTGGCATACAATGGGTACCCTCTCCCGTCTTCACCAGGTCTTCCAAACAACGTGGGATAAGTTTTGTGATTCCCATTTTCCCACAACTTTGGTCAGCCTAATTCATTTACTCGCCTAAGATAAGGCTGTGCTTAAAATCTAACTTCAGAAGCAACCCAGGGTATGTTGTCATGTACCTCACTTTTTGACTTTTTAAATGTCTTTAAGAAAAGGAAGCTCCTGCCGGATTCTATTCTAGAGAAGTTAACTACAGCTCCACAGACAAAGTAAGTAATGCACCTCATTGTATTATTTGCTTACATACACCCATCTTTGAATTACATACTAGTTCATTTATTTGAATCCATGTAATTGAATAATAAAGCCTACATTAAAAAGCTACACAGTATGTATTTTAATTTGGTGTGGGATAGGTGGAGGGAAGTATTTCACTTCTTTTCAGTCTTTTGCCATTTCTTTTTGTTCATTTTCCACGGCTGACTCTAGTTTCTGAGTTCCTGATCCCAGAGTATTTATTCAACCAGTTGTTGACCAGCTGTCATTGTACTAGGGGCTGGGTAGATGGTGGTGAACAAGTGTCTTGAAATTTTATCATTTAGTGGAGTAGCAGACACTTGTCCACAGGCTCCTAAAACTCAGCTTGACCCACACTTGCCTTACCTGCCCCCAAGTTGTCCTTCCTCCTTGTTCCCGATTTCATTTAGTCGCTTTGCCACCCACTCAGTGTTTAAAGCCAGATGCTGTAGTTGTCCTCTTCCTCATCTATCCCGCGGAATCAATCAAACCTTATTAGACTCCTAATATTGGTCGTTTTTCTGTCCCCCTTGTCTCCTCTTAATGCTTTTAAGTTCAGAAGCATAGTTTTGTATCTTTTTACTAGGTCAGTGGTTCTTAGATTTTGTGTAGAACTTAAGGAGTTATTCAGATCTCGGATACATTAAGCATATCAATGTATTTGGTGGCCAATTCCCCTTTCATCATTTAAAACCAAGCCCAAATGTCACCTCTTTGTTCTCTCCACTCACCCCATTACTTCCTCCTTTGAAAAGCTTTTCTACTGTGCAAGTGCTTCTGTGCAGGCGTCTCATGTAGTGTTTCGTCAGTTTACATTTTACTCTCAGACCAGACTTTTCAAGGCTAGTCCTCGACTTCTGTGCTTAAATTGTTGAATCCTTTGTGGTTTCTCCAAAAGAAATGAGGCAGGCCTCTCACATTTCACGTTGTATTTCAAGTGATGTATTATATCTCATTCTTTCTTAACTCCCATTAACCACAGCAACCTGCTTCTTTGGAAGCCTGGTAATATGCTTTCAAATTTAAAATTCTGAGAAGATACTCCCGCCCAAGAACATGCTAGCTTGTGGATTGGAAGTTGGTGGTAGTGCATTGGGGAGTGGCTTGCTTTCTAAAACTGATCTTGAGTAAAAACTGAGGATTGTGGTGATGAAAGGAGTGGGGGTTTATCTTATTTGTAAAACCAGATGAAATTGTGTAACAAGTTGAATAATCTTTGTTATCTGCTATACCAGTCAATTTTTGTGGTGTTCTCCCCTTAGCATAAAGAAATCACCAGGAAAGTTAAAAGAAGGTATGAACTATTCTAATTTACTTTTTATGGGAGTGTCAACTGCATTTGCGGTCAAATGTTGTTGGCCCTTAGAGAGCATGGGAATAGGGCTGGCCAGGTTTAGCTTGGGCCTATTCCCGATATTTCTTACAAATAAAAACTGCATCCAGATTAGTGTGTAGTGGGTATTTAATGTGAACTCCAGTAAATGCTCCTGATACTTACATAAGTACTAACTAGAAAAACTCAATTTTTTAGTTAATATACAGAAGAAAAATGAAGAATGTGAAAAAGGAAGTGATTCCAAGAAAGCTAAAGTACAAAAAGTGCAGTCTGTCGGGTAAGAAGTCTTCTTTTTTTTTCTGTAGGATATAAAAGTGACCTTTTGAGAGAAAGTATTGGCTTATTTGGGAAAATATTTTAATTAGTTTCAGATTGGATCCTCTTTCGAAAAACAAATTGTGATATTTATATAAAAACAATATTTGCTCTACTAAAATGTGAATATTAGTCTATTTCTTATAAAATAGCCCTGTAATTTAGTTTTAATCATTATCTTATCTGTGCATATACAAAATCAGGATTTTGGTCCCGCGCCCCCCCACTTTCTGAGACAACAAAAATACCTTATTTTGAAGCAAGCATGTTATCAACCTCATTCTTTTTGACCTTTTGTATTGATCACCAGCCAGAATAAAAGCTACTTGGCTCTAAGGCTAAAAGATCAAGATCTGAGAGATTCAAGGCAGCAAGCAGCCAAAGCCTTCATACAAAAGTCTTTATATGGTCCAGGAACCAACAGAACTACAGGTAATTTCCTTATGGACTGTTTTTCTCACTTTTTACTGCAAATAAAGAAATTATATAATAATACTCTTTTCTAGTAAATAAGTTCCTGTCTCTTGACAACAAGAGGTTACCAGTGAAAAAGGCTGCAGCCCAGTTTTTGAATAGTGGTTGGGGTAAGGTCCAGTTTTATTTTCTTGGCTCTGATTGTTTTATATGTTGAATGATGTTCTTTTTTAATAAGATAAATACTCAAATAATTACAAAGTATCTTTTTTCTTGTAATGGCTTCTATATTTTAATTGCTTCTGAAAAAACAGGTCAGTATAGTATGTGTACATCTAATAGACCTAATTTTAGTATTTATACTCATAGAGGATCTTGAAAATTTTTGAATTGTTTCTTGGGAATTTTGTATCTCTAATATTCTAACTGCACAAACTTTCTATTCTAGGAACCCAGAAAAAACAAAATGCTAAGAGGTTTAAAAAACGGTGGATGGTCAGAAAGATGAAAAACTTCTAAGTAAATGAAAGCTAAATGAAGAACAGGAACTTTGCATGTACAGAAGTTACAGTTTGGAAAATTGATTTGTCTTAAAAAATCTAATAAATCATTTATAAATCACTTTCAAGGGTCATTACACAGTCATAAATCAATTTGTGGAAGTGCCCCGTCACACTTCATCATTCTGGAGTATAGGTGTGCCGTTAGTCTTTGAGGGTCCTGGAAGAAACAGCAGTTTAAAACGAATTGTTTTCATTTCTTTTTGTGTTCATCCGTTTAATTGAATACAAGCAACACCAGTAAGGGCACCTCATCTCCCCATCCCCTCCCCACAGTGGATGTGTGGCAGGAATGGCAGGGAGGAGGAGAAATGGACATCCAGGAAAAGTTTTCAACAGCATCTCTCAGGTGCCTTAGTTTCTTGGTGCTACTGGTGAGAATTGGCTTCACAAAATACGAAATAAACAAGAAAAATAGCAGTGAAAAAGTGCACTATCCAAGCGTAGATAACTATTCTTAACAAAGGTTCAACCCTCAGTGTACAAAATAAGTCAACCAAAGGATAGGGTTATACTGTTGAAAAGCTTAAATTTTAATTAGTTTGGGGGTTTGCTTTACTAGCAAGTGACATGCTTTACTCTGGGTATGAAAATAAGGAGATTCATTTCCCCTTTTCTGTCACTCACAATATCATATTTGACCCTAATACAGAGAAGCCAGTAAACTGAAGGCAGTCTTAGGTTGTAGAACTCAGATTTATAGTAAAAATCACTCATTTTAATTTTCTAATTTTATATTTAATCATTAAGTATGCAAGTACCTAATATATAAACTCAGTTGACACTAATATCTGTAGAAGTAAATTTTTAATGGCTGGTTAATTATATCACTACATTTTTATTGCAATATAGTACTCATTTAAGCACTTAAAAATGGAAGGTGTACAAAGATTAAATTAAGACACGGTAAATTGACTAAATATTTGGTTTTTATATAAATAAAGGTCATAACCACACCGTTGACATGTAATACTGTTATAATACAACAGTTAAACTTGTGAGCCTACAACAGAAGTCGTTGGTAGTTAAACAGGAAACAAATTTGAAAAGACCATGTTAAAACAAAACTACTGGGACTAACAGGTTGGGATTGTAAGTAGCAACAAACGTCTTCACTCAGCTCCTGAGTATTTCAAGTTTTACAGTACACATTAAAAATGATTTCTTCCATCAACACTATAAATTCAAACTGTCGGATGTTTATGCATTTTGCAAGTTACACTGATTGAATGCTTATATGGGAGTGGGGGTCGGAACATCGCCCAATTTGAAGTTTACATCACCCACATGCTAACACAACACAACTTGTTCCATTTCCTTCCCCCCTCTCCCCCCAACAAAGAAGGCAGGATTTTTTGGTTTCTTTTAGGTAATTGTTTTAAAGGATTTGTGATGATCAATTTGAACGTCTGAGATTCAGTAATATTTAACTCTTAGACAACTAAGAGGTTAAAGATGGAAAATAATTTCTCCTAACACTAAGTTAGAAAATCATTTGCATCATGCTGTAAACTAGGAAGCAATGTAAAGCGACAAAAACCTGTCCCCAGTACATAATTAAAAAAATCTAAATTTCAAATCAGCAGAGCTGGTCTACTTCCATGTTGACTATATGCCACAATATAAGTGTGAGCTCCTTAAATGCATAGCTAATGTAGGTAGTCTTCCACTGTGGCAAATGCACAGGATCCAATTCCTGATCGAGCCATCAGTCCTAGACATTGTGTGGCCTGTCCCATTGCTAGGGCAAGTGGAGGTTGCTTTGGCAGATTGTGGGTTTCTGAGGAAAAATGATTAAAAATGGAAATAGCAATTAGCAAAACATTAAAAAAAATCTATCAGGAAAATATTGCATTACTTACAAAATGACCAATGCACATATATCACTCTTAACTACCTAACTAGCAAAGGTAGTTTCTAAGCAGATAATGCCTTGGAGGTAGGACTCTGATAAGGTAATATGGGTACTTGGGTATTCAACTAGAAGAAAAGTTCTTTCAGAATTAGACTTTTTAAAGTGTCAGATCCTCTCTTTTACTTCCATGTTAACTATGATGGGCAACATAATTTCTTAGCTGATATTTACAGGAGGGGAATAAGGAATATTTAGTATTTCTCTCCTATTTGACCAAGGTCAGTTGACATGAACAGAAAAAGGCACGCGTGTGTGGGGGTGAATTTGGTAGGGAGCATGGGGGTGATGGTGACCATGAGAGATGATAGAGCAAAATTTTGGACAGGTAATTTATAATTGATAGGTCAAACATTTTAAAATTTGCCAATGAGTTAAAAGTTTTCAGGATCCTTCATACCGGAAATTTGTCAACAGTTGTAATACAAATGTAATTGCCAAAATTTGCCAAAGATGAAAACAAACTAATGGTGAAAGTGGCCAAACTCACAGAAGCTGGTCATTTCTCCTTGTGAGATGTCCAAATTTTAAGTTTATGTAGATTTACAGTTAATAAAATGACTAATCAGTCTTTCATAGACATAGTTGACAACAAAGGGCAAAAGCAGTGATTCACGTCTGGTAAGGCTCCATGTGACTTAATTCCACTCTTGGTTTTGAGGTTGCAATGTGGTGGGAGAAAGAAAAGTTCCAGAAGGAATGAAGCAAAAATAAAAAGCAAGATCAGGATTTAAAGTAGAAGAGGAAAAAATATTTATATAGGGTTAAGAATATTAGAACAAAAATATGCAAGAAAAGATACACTGATGAAAAAGTATGGTTTGAAAAGTGGTCTGTGCATTAAGATTATTAAAGTACTGGCTATTCTGTGGCAAGATGCTACGTAACTAAATTTTGATGGTGATAAACGTTTTTTGGTGACTAGGATTGACTTATAAAATAATCCTGCCTTAACTTGAATCAAGAATATTAGTCTATTTGAATTTAATTTTTATTCAAATTAACATAACACTGAAAAGGAAACATCCTTTAAAAAATGTCTCCTGAAGGTTTACAGGGAAGCAACCTTGCTATAAGGTAAGCATCTAGAGCAGCGGTTCTCAACTTGTGGGTCGCGACCCCTCTGGGGGTTGAACGACCCTTTCACAGGGGTTGCCTAAGACCATCAGAAAACAAAAAGATATTTACATTACGATTCATAACAGTAGCAAAATTACAGTTATAGAGTAGCAACGAAAATAATTTTATGGTTGGNGGCATTAGGAAGGTTGAGAACCGCTGATCTAGAGGTACTTTATTGCAACTTTATTTTGGCCAAGAGAGGCATCTGGTTATAAGTACTTAAATTTATTTGGATACAAAACTTGCAGGAAATTACAATTAATAATTTTAAGCACGACTTACAGATTATATAGTATTTACAAATATGCACACAGACCCCACCCCACAGCAATTTGATAATTAATTTTGCAGGAGTTATATATATTTAATAATTTTAAGCACTATTTATAGCTGAACCTACATAAATATGTAGCACAATGTGTGAGAGTACATATATTTTCGATAATGGTGCCAAGCAATATTTAAAATTTTATTTCCCTTTAAGATCCCAAGATACAAAAAAAGTCATAAGAAAACTAGTCACTTTTCTTCAAAAATTTTTTCCAAGTCTGAGTGTTCTCTAAATATAAAGCAATTAGGGCTTCATGATTACCTATAAGGTAGCAATTTCAAAAATACAATTATAGTAAACTATAATTTACCCCACAATCCCAGCATTACTACTGAGTTTTCTTACGTTTACCAGTAGAGCTCAATGAATTTTTTATAACCAAAGAAAATACAACACATTAACACAGAAAATTCACATTTATTATATACAAATTCTAAATTTAAGAAAACAACATAAAGACACTACCCCTATTCCAAAACTTCAGTATGAGACCTTAACACACAAAAATGAACTTTATAAAGGCAAAGAAACAGATGAAGGCTCAAATAGGAATACTTTTAATTGCTTCCTTTACATTCTGGCCATATGAGCCCCAGGCCCTCATTACAAGTCTCCTTGTTTAAATATCCTCTGATCTACTCTTTGGCACTGTTCTAATCTAGCAAAAGTAATTAGAAACATGTTGCTAAAAGCCCCCAAACCTAACAGGGCAAAACAGCACAGAAACGACTTCTAAACTGGAGTCCCATTTTACATAGGGAATTAGATTCTCAAGTCAGGTGAAAAATCACTTATCTAAATTACCTTTGAAAAGAATTACCCAGAAATTAAAACATAGTTCTATGTAGTCAGCCAACCGTATAGAATTTATATATAAATACACAGAATATACAGGTACAGAATTCATATAAAAAGTGTGTTAAATACTATATTCCTTGTTGCTCACAGGAACAGCAACGAGGGGGACAGCAAATTCTAATCCTCACTCCATGCGCACCCCTGGTGAAGCCTCCCTATATTGCTGTTCTCTTCCTCCCCTACCCTTTTTATTTGGTGAGGGCATTTAGTTGAATATGCTTAACTTCCATGCAAATTAATTTGACTCTAAGGGTTGGTACTGATGGGACATTTCCAAGTCACCTGGAGGCCCCTTGTGCCTATACCTTAAGCATGGTGGGAGCTGTGACATGGGAGGCACAGGCCAGAAATGCACATGTACACACGCGCGCGCACACACAATCCCACTCCCCTCCCCTCCACATACACATTTCTAATTTCCAAACTTCCCCAAATGCACCCAATGTGCTGTTTTTATTCCATTTGAATCCATTTAACCTGGAATTCAAATAATGGAGGAAGGTTTATATATTTTAAGGTCATTTTAATTTTTAAAATGTAGAAGATTTTACCAAAATATAAATGCCAGCAGAAATAATACCATCTCAAATATTGAGAGAATAGTTGGACTTGTGCTTTGGCTTTACTTACCTAATATTGCACTGTTAAGAGCTGAGCACACAGGTTCTCTCTGAATTGGGTCAAGCTGATTTCCAACTGGGCTGTTCCAAGGGTCTGAATAAGCTAGTAAACTGAATGCATCCTGTGGAAAACATGGCAATTTGGTTTTTAATTCAAATAGTTCAACTACTGTGCTCACCATAGTTACAAGTTGAGACGCAAATAAAATATGGGTTTAAGGCACTAGACCACTGCGACATTTAGACCTTTATACCCATATATATGTTTTAACAACTAGATTATGCAGCAAAGCCTAATCTGTTTATATTCTTTTTGTAAAAAGCCATTCTTATCTTCTCTCTATCCCTGCAACACATATAGAACAAACAAAATAAAAATTGAAAAAATGAATTCCTGTGAAATGGGCGAATACTGGTTAAGGTAAAGAGGAACACAAAACATTCAGATACTTTACAATTTATTACCACTGATATGAATTTGACATTAAAAGGATAGGGTCTGCCTATGTATATATTTCAAACAGATGTGGGAACTGGACCCATTTCGTTGGATGTCATCTTCTCAAACTAAGTAATCAAAAAAATAAAACTAAACTGGCTCCCATTCAGGAACATGTAATAGTTCCGTGCTTCCTCAAGCCACCCCTCCTAAAGTAGCTGACACATACACATTAGTCTTCTCTAATGACTGTCTTCTTTCTATGGGATGCACATACTGCAATGGTTTCAGACACTGGCATCAATCACTAGCATGCATCACCGGTGTGGCCTCTGCCAAGGAATGACCTCTCCAAGTGTCACTTGCATCATTTGGGATTATAACAGGTCATATTTCCCACCCATATGAGGAATAACTGAGCTAAGTGAAATTAGCAATGTTGGTTTATTCTAATCTTTCAATAAATAATGTCCTATTATTTTGTCAAAATGCCCTAATCTGGAGTGATATTATAATCTAGTTACAGATACAGAAGACATACATGGAGAGGTGCTGAGGAAAACGTAGATCAGTGAATTCAGTAACAGCACTCCAAATGCTGATTACAGACCTGTGGAAGACTGAAGTTCCTAAAGATACTATATCCTAGGCACAGCTGTCCCGGCATTCCTCTAATCTTACTGGTGTTCTGAGAGCAGAGGTGGGGGAAAGGCTTCCTGGTCCACTGTCCTCTTTTCTTTCTCATCCAAACTGGCCTCCATATTGTGGAGGTAAGAGAAGAACTGCCCACAAGGCAAAGCTGAACAGACAGTCCAGGGGTCCGGACAGGGAGTGCAAAAACACGTGCGGCTCCTCCACTGTCTTACACAGCTAAGTATCTCATTCACATCAGACTTCTTGCCCCAGTTATTATAATAAAAGTTCTTTGAAGATTAAAAAATTATTATATTGGATTGTCAGAAAAGTCATGACGTATTTTTTGTTTTTCAAAGGTCATTTATTTATATAAAGAACAAAGATCAATCAATGATATATTGCCCATTTTGTTCGGTAACCTTTTCCCATCTTTCATTGAGCTTCCTAATTCCTCGTTCACAGAAGGACCTGTCTTCATTTGCGAAAAACTGAACAAGGTGCTGACTGACAGCCTCATCTGAACTGAATGTTACACCACGCAAGGAGTTTTGAAGAGAGCGAAACAAGTGCAAGTCTGACAGCACAAGGTCAGGCGAGTATGGTGGGTGTGGCAACACATCCCATCCCAGCTCCAATAATTTTTGACGGGTGATCAAACTTGTGTGTGGTCTCGCGTTGTCGCGATGGAACACAACTCTTTTACAATTAACAAGCTCTGGACGTTTCTGGATGATGGACTCAGATTCATTCAAGCTCTCCAACTGCTGACAGTACACATTCAACTTGATTGTTTGGTTCCTTGGTAGGAGCTCGAAAAACACGACACCTTTAAAATTGCACCACACTGAGAGCCTAACCTTCCTCTGATGAATGTCTGCTTTCGATGTCGTTTGAGGCGAATCATCATGTCAGGACCAAGACCATTTGTGCAAAACACTGTTGTAAACAATCCACTTCTCATCACCAGTTATTAGTTGCTTCAAAAAAGGATCGTTTTTCTCATGATTAATGAGCATATTGCAGATGTTTTTATACGCGCCGCGAAATGAACTTCTTTGAGTTCATGCGGAACCCAAATATCGAGCTTGCTTACGTATCCCAGCTTCTTCAGGTGGTCATGAACGCCTGAATGATGGATGTTCAATGTTTCTGCAATCTCTCATGTCGTGTAACGTGGGTTTGACTCGATAAATGCCTTTATTTTGTCGTTATCAACCTTGGTGGACCTCCCTGACCGAGAAGCATCGTTGAGATCAAAATCACCAGCACGGAATTTCATGAATCATTGTTGGCACTGATGTTCTTGTAGAGCAGGGGTGTAAACTCAGTTAAAACACGGGCCATTTGGTGCAACAGGCAAGATTCACGAGGGCCACATCACATTTACAAATTTTGTTAAATTTATATTCTAAAGTGAGGGTTCAGGAATATGGATAATTAAAACACTATATAATTGCTTTTATTTAAAGATTTATTTTATTTAATGTATTTATAAAACTAAAATTATTCTTTTTTACTCGAGTGCTCTTTTTTAACTTTTTTGCTATTGGGATCTGTTTACATTACATGACACTGAGAGTGGCAGACATATCGCTTTCAAACGTCTCCGGAACTGAGCACATTTATACACACCCCCAGGCCCCCAGGAAAAGCACTGGGCCACCTGTATACTCGTCTTCAGTAGTTAAAGGGTTAAGGAGGGAATTGTGTGTATGGTATTGCCGCAATCTCCCCTAAGCGCTATTTTCTTCATAACAATTTTTTCTATTTTCATTTTATTTCAGAGCATTGTGGGCCACAAAAAATTACCTCAAGGGCTGCATGCAGCCCGCGGGCCACCAGTTTGAGACCCCTGTTGTAGAGCAGTGTCACGATAAACTTTATGCAACTTTTCACAAGCTTGACGCGCGTTCTTCCCTTTATGGAAGTTAAACAGTAAAATATGGCAAAAATGCAGTTTGGTCTTCCATCTTCAACTTGTAAAATCTCCAAAACTCAACCAAATCGCTCAATTTTTTTAAAGAATGAAGCTAGAACTGTCAGCTGTCAAACAACATAGCAATAACATAGATGCAAATGACTAGTACCTCCAAAAATAAACTAGAGCCATCTGTTGCAAACATGCGTCATGACTTTTCTGACAACCCAATATTTTGAGTAGCTGTGGAATTCCCTGCAGCTACTCATAGGTGCTGGGTACAGGGAAAAAGCTTCATATACCTGCTGACCACAAGACCTGCTTCTTAGAGTTTTTAAGATATTTTATGCATCCCACAAAGTCTATTTCCCTGGTTGACCCTATCCAAATTCACTGATGGAAAGTATATTAATATCCTACATCCTATAAAGCTAACTCTAGTCAATCATATTATTTCTAAAGACTAAGCTTTGCTCAAGACTTAATTTACCCCACACCATCTATCTAATGAGGTACCATCCCCACAGTACAGCTAATTTTAAAAGATACACTGGAAAATTGTCCAAGGAATAACTGGTACATAAAAACTTAAAGCACAAAACCTCCCTTTTGGGTCTATATATCCAAACATGTACCAGAAAGGTGAAATGTCCCAAATGTCAAATCAAGACCACTCTTCTGTTTACACCTTCTAGTATTTAAAACAGAAACAGATAGCTCAAGGTAATAATGAAGGGAGTAATTTACTGTGTACTCACACTGTGAGTGTGTGAGGCAGTGTTTCAAGCACTAACGTGGGTCATCTCATTTAATCCTCACAATAACCTTACCAGGTGGATGCTATTATGCCCATCATACAGAGATGCAAACTGGAGCAATAAGAGGTTAGATGACACAGCTAGTACTGTACTTCATTTAGTAAGATGTAGTTCCTCTTAACTCTCAATATAAATGTTAAAAGGAAAAATGTCTAAAATTCTGCTCAAGCATTTGCAGTACAACTGAACAAATATTTAGTGGAAAACTGAGGACACAGTGATCACCAGGACTTACGTCGGTTTCAAGGACTCACATAGTCTTGTGGGGAACACAGACACGTAAACAAACAACCTACAGTGTATTGCTTATTAACGGGTACAGTGTATGGTGTCACATCATACAATCACAGAAAAAGGATCAAGCTACATGGATACTAAGGCAGAGAAAAAGGCATGGATGGAACCATGGTTAGATCCTAAAATGCCTCTAACACCAAATTAAAAAGCTTGAATTTTTTGCCAATAAGGCAATGGAGTTTTAAATATAGGCGTGATATGGATCAGATGTGATCACAGAAGAATTACACAGCAACACTATGAAACATAGCTTTGAAGTAGAGTGAGGCTGTAAGCAAAACCAATAAAACCGTAAAAAAAAAAAGTTTACAGCATCAAGTTCCCAGTAGTAAAAACCTAGAACTTTATCATTCTTTATAAAGGGAATAAAATCAACAAAGCAACATTAATGGTTTAAATCCTGTGGCAAATTTAATTGGTGACAACCAAAGGGACACAGTTAAAGCAGCAGTGCCACTGGCACATTTGTCTGTTACAGCTAAGTTGGTAGGTTTCTGGGAAGCGATACTATAGCAATACTCGTGTGTAACAAGAGCCACAATAAATATATCCTTTGATTCAATAATTAGGACTTTATCCCAGTGGAATAATTTTAGGGAAGAAACATAAGGATATATGTATAAAGGTGTTCACTAAAGCATTTGAATAAAAGCAAATAAAGTCTAACATGAGAGCAATGCTTAAATAAACTGATACAGCAACACAACAGAATATCATGTAGCCATTTAAAAGTAATTGTAGGGCCAGCCCAGTGGTGCATTGGTTAAGAGTTGGCTTGGGACACAGCTCTGAGCAGCAGTGCCCCGGGTTTGGATCCCACATTAGAGCCAATGATGCTACGCCCTCTACAGCTAAGATGGTGAACAACAGTTCGACCTGGAGCTGGGCTGCCCATGAGGTAACAGCGTAGGCTGCAGCCCCTGCTGCAATGGGCTGCTGGAAGTTACCATGAGTAGCCAGCAGCCAGTGTGAGCTGCCAAGAGCCACCGTGAGCGGCTGTGCAGTGACCGGCGACCGATCTGCCTCACCCGGGAAGAGCACAATGATAATACCAACATGGGCCAGTGAAGCGATGTCGTCCACAACTAGGCTGAAGAACAAAAGGACAGCAACTTGTCTCTTCCCCTTCCCCAACTTTCCAACACTGTTCCCCTCCCCCAATTCCCCAATAAAATCTTTAAAAAAAAATGATTGTAAACAATGCACAGAAACAAAATAATTTTTTATGACAATAAAAACAATACAAAATAGGATAACTAAAATTACTAACTAGCTAAAATATATGCAAATGAGCGTTAAAGCACAAAACAAAGTATCTGAAATATCGTGCATAGCATTATAGCTTACTGTTTATTTGAAAAAAAATTACCTTAGTTTATTTGAAAACAATTTCTGAGGGAAATGTGACATCATTTAGGTAGGATTCTCAAACCGTACTTATACTTGACTTAAAATCTGGAGCAGTTTGTAAATGGGAGTCTCAATGGCTCTAGTTCTGCTTCAATGACTAGATAATGCTCCTTGTGCGCTGGGGCATCATCCACACCTGACCCCCACAATGCCTGCAGCAGTGCCTCACCACATTGCAGAAGTTCAACAGACAGCTGCTGAACAAAATCAGGCAGTTCTCATGGAAGCAACTGGCAGATTTAGGGAGGTAAGGAACAAAAACAATAGGGAAAGAGGAAAGGAAGACTGAGAGAACTGGAAAAACGGTCAAGAGAAACTGGGCTGCTGCAGGAGCTCCCTACCATGTTTACCACAGGTCGGCAACTCTAAAGGGCTGCAATATGGCAGTCACCCACCACCCCACCACCCAGGGGAAGCAAAACACACCTGCATCTTATGGTAAAGCATTTAGGGAAATCCTACCTTCAGCTTTAACCAAATCAATCTTTCTCTCTATATATATGACTCAGAAGTTTATACAAATCCAGAAACAATAAATAAAAATACCCTACTATAATCACATGGGACCTGAAGTGAACAAAAGAAAAAGGAATAATTTCTAAACCTTCTCAACTATGGCAGAAAAACATTTACTCTTCATGTTGACCTCAAATCTTCCAGCCTTGTTCTGTAGGTACTGATAAGTTAGATCAGTTACTCATCCCTATCTGGGCCAAGAAAAGTTTGGGGAATTGAAAGAAAGCAGCTCAGAATACTAAGGAAATTTCTAAAAAGCTGCCATTTGTTTAGAAGTCAGAGAAGCAAAATCAAAGCCATCTACATTCTTTAGATGAAGAAGATGAATCACATTTTCACATAATTCAATATAAAATCAAAGAATATCTTTGAAAATAGACCATGTAATGATATTTCTATGCTTCGTGCAAATTAGAATCAAAGACTGTAAGCTGACTGAGTGAAATCTTAAATTTTCACAGGCACTACACAAATCACACTCCTTTATCATGCTCCATTAGCATCAAATTTTAACAAGAAAAGTCAAATGACCTGCTGTAAAATAAAAAGTCTATAAATTCTTAAAAACCTAATATTGAATGTCAACTTTAATTAAAAAAAATAGTCATGGGGATATATAGTAGAGCACAGAGAAATAGTCAATACTGTAATAACTATGTAGTGTCAGATGGGTAATAGATTTATTGGAGTTACTACTTTGTGAGGTATATAAATGTCTACTCATTATGTTGTTTTGTACACCTGAAACTTAAAAAAAAATTACAAACTCTTAAAAACATTTCATATTCCCAAATATCCCCTGAAATAACAGTTCTCAAAATATAGTCCAGGGACACCTTGGTCCAAGACCCATTCATGAGGTTTTGTAAAGTGGAAAACTATTTTCACAGTAATACCAAGATACCACTTTCACTTTTCTCATTCTTTCACATCTAACTGTACAGTGGGGTTTTCCAGGGGCAACATGATGTGTGATATCACAACAGATTGAATGCAAAGGTAGGTCTGAGAATCCAGATTATCTTGATTAAACCTGGCATTAAAGAGATTTGTGAAAATGGAAAGCAATGTCTCTCTCATTTTTTATTTTAGATTGCACTGTGATGAAAATTCCCAATCTGGAAAATTTATTTATACTTTTCAAATGAATTTATCTTCAATTTAGTAAACTTTCATTGAATATCTAGATGTTGTATGCATTAGATATATTTAAAAGGGGAGGAAGTTAAATATTAAGACCTAGTCTGACCTCAAAGAACGCTTAATCTTATAGGGTAAATGTGGATGGCCATTTTCCTAATAGTATATGAATGTCTGATTTGATTTTTTAAATGAAAAATAATTCAAATTACATAATCCACCAATTTTCTTTTATTTACCAAAAAAAAAAAATCATAATTAAACCATTTTTTTTTGATAGTTGAGGGTCACCATTAGAATGGCAGTTGTGCTATCCAGTAGGTGAAGTGCTAAATATGTTGAATATACCTCTCTTTAAACCTCAGCTACTAAAAATACAAGGCTGTATGCCTTCAACTGGAAGTGTATATAGGTGGCTCCTTCACCCATCCTAGGCTAGACAGGTAGGTTCTGTCTGCATAGATGCTGTCCTGAGGCTATAGTGCAGGTAGCACTTTGTTTCTCCCTAATTCTATGCCATATTCAGTGCTATTAGGTGTGGGTGGCTGGTGCATTAACTCAGTTTGGGTCAGGGAGGGGTGGCAGGAGCCTTGCCCTTTCCTACTGTGTGCATTACACACATCAGTCTCAAGGCCACTACATGCATCTGTCCTTGGTTTTTTGAACTTCTTTCAAAACATTCAGGAAAAAATGTTTAAAACTTACCATCTTTGATCCTAACCTAATGAAGATAAAAAAACAAAACAATTGCTAGGTTAATGTTTCATAGGCTTACAGGGCTGGTAGGACTTTTATGAGTATGAAAAAAAACCCAAAACTTAAAAGTTGTAACATTTCTACAACTAACTGCAGTGCTGACTTAGGTAGGGGAAAACTCCTCCACCTTCAACTGATACAAAAATTGTGGCTTACTTACTAAACTCTTTAAATTGTATCCACCCTATTAGCTACTATAAACAGTCAATCCAGAAAAGATCTAAAAATGTATTAACTATTCTGGCTTCAAAGATGATCCAAATCCCTCGCCAATCATCATCAAAATGAAAATCATGTACTATATTATACATTCAATCTACTGGAACCCTGAACAATGTTTACTAAATAAAAATATCACAAATTTATAGTTTTATCAGCACACTCATATTTTTCCTAACAACTTTGCCAATTTTACAGCTGAGAAAACTAGGAAAGTTGGCAAAGTGCATACAATGCTGATAGGTGGCAGACGTGGGATTAAATCCCTATTTTTTCCCTTGAAATCCAGTGCTCTTTCCAGTACAGCAGAGCTGCCCAGCTCCACTGAACACTTTCACTCTCAAATGGGCAGGAAGCCAGGGAGTTCATGTCCAAGTTTCCCAACAACAATTTCTAGTATTGCTCAATATTTTACAAAACTACAATTTAGTTCCTTTGACACATTTATAATTTTTCAAGGGAAAACAAATTTACCTTCAACATTTTTTTGTTTGCTGTGTTTTTGCCACATTCTCTCCTCAGCTGTTCACTCATAGCTTGTAGTTCTCTTCCAAAGTGAATCATTCTTTCTATTGCGGCTTGACTTCCTCCACACAACTGGCGTCTTAACTGACTTGAATCAACTTCTGTAAGCAAAACAAGTATTTTACCACCTTACCAAATGGAGGGCAATGACCATAAATTGCTGATAACATTTTGTACATTTCATTTAGTAACTATTACCTAATATTTTCTCTAAACATGCAGATTTATTTTTAATTTAATATGGAACTTTGCAGCTAAAACGTATGCTTTATCTAGGTCTCAAGAGTCTAGGATCCAATATCTAGCATGCAGTTGAAAGTCAGGTGACAACCTCTCACAGTGTTAAGAAGTACCTATATGTCAGGGAAAATTTTATGAAAAGTTAAGCACAATTCTCTAAAACTACATTAAGCAACATTAAGAATAAAGAGAAAAGTAACTGCCTCTCAGACTACATTAAACCGACCTAGAATATATAGAATAAAAAGATTCCTAAAAGCTAAAAAAAGGTGAAATGATTCCAATAAAAACACAGACGACACATTTACACTAATAAAAAAGGGTTGATTGCACTACTTTTAGAAAAACACTATTAGAAAATACAATTTTATAGTATATATCTTGGTTGACAAGAATCACTGATCAATAATGTAATCATTTAAATCACTGATAACTTAAGTCATTAATGATGATAGTTAATATTTACTAAGCACTTTGTGCTAGTAGCTTTTCACAGATTAGCTTATTTAATATTCACAATAACCTATGAGGCAGTTATTGTAATACCCATTTTACAGATGAAGAAGCTGAGGCACAGAGCTCTTACGTATCTTGTCCTAGGTTACACAGCTAGTAAGTAGCAGTTGCAGAATTTGAATCCAGATAATCTGGCTCTAGAACTCTTGCTCTTAATCACTATGCTTAAATTACTTTTTGAACGTTGAGGTTGCTGATATCTGAGAAAACTAGGCTGCCTTTTAAATCATACTCCTTGCTTGAAAAAGTGAATTATATATTAAAACACATAATCCTCAACAGGTAGTTGTGTAAATAATAAAAGAATAACTTTGCATTTATAAAGTAGTTTCTTACACATGCTCTTAGAGATCAGAAAAAAATACCTTTTAACTTCAAAATATTAAGAAATCTAATGTTGCCATGGAATTCTGACAAATAATCATTTATAAGCTTCAATAATTTTCACTTTCCAATTGATGAGGAAGTTTGCTGATGGTTTTTCATGGTACAATTTACTATGCAACTTGTCAACAAAGTAAAATTAAGCATGCTACTGTATCTTTCAGCCACTTAATTTTCTGGTGAGAAGGAATCAAACTTAAGTACCTACTATGTGCCAGGCAGTGAACTATGTATAGCCACATATATTCACATAAAATGAATTTAAAAAATTCTGTTTGATTAGAATGTATAAAATCATCTCTACCCATTTGGCCTTTACTGGCTACAATGAAATAAGTGTAAAATTTTTAATATCTCTAACCTTAAATATCCTAAAGGATATTTAACACTAATAAGCTGGTACTGTTGCACTAAAGACAACATTAAAGTTGAGCCAAAACACACTGTTCAGCAAAGAAAACTCTCTAGCACTTAACTTCAGAAAGTACTGAAAAGTAACTACTCAGTCTAGCAACCCACTCTCACAAGTTTAAGAGAAGTGTATTCCCTATCTGATACAATGACACATATATCTTTAAATCTGATTTATGCTCATCACTGTGAATCAGTACAAGTAAAAACATAACCTTGTAGTCATCATTTTTTATTAAAAATGTAAGAAATATCACTGCAGACCCATTTCGGTGTCACAATCTTCCATTTCGTGGTCATGTTTAGAGCTACCATTTAGGAAACCATTGGATGAAGTTTCTCCAACTCCATTGGAGTAGTGATCTGTTTCCATGTCTACATCATTACTGAAAACGAAAAAACAAACCTAATTTTAGAAATCGCATACTTGCAGCTTAGTTTAAAATAAATTACTACTCAACTACATAGCCTACTTATAAACTGACTTCATAAGGCAACAGCAATCTGCAAAAAAAATATTTAGTTAAATCTTGAATGTACTGAAAGCCAAATATGTAGCTGACTTTTTTTTTTTTAAACAAATTTGTACTCCTGGAAGATGTACTAAAATGTAGTGGTTTCATGACTTTGTATCAATATGGAGAAATCATGCTTTTCAGCACATACCTCACACTATTTTTCAAACTCAGATCTGCATTTCATTCTTTGTTCACCAACTCTTGCCCAGAAACCCACACACTTGTCCCAGCATTCATTTCTAGCATGTAAGGGGAAAGCTACACTCTCCAAACAAACTATTCCTGGAGCCCACTTCACCTCCTTACTGCCCTCACATTCAACTCGCTTCTAGACTACTTTTTCTTTAACAGTCTTGACATTTTGGCATTTGTCCTCACTACTTAAAAACATACCCTCTTTCAAAGGTAAATAATCTTAAAAACTATTCAGTCTCATCCTCTCATACCTTTCCAGCACCCACACTATTTTTCTCTCACAGGCTTTCTTATTGGCTAAAGAGTCTAAAGTATTGCCAAATTTTAATTTTAACAATGCTGATTTGGATAGTTGGGGTGTTTCCAATTTTCACTCATTTCACATTTACTGAATGAATAACTGTATCTGGACATAATGAAGTTGTCCCTTCAGATCCATCCACACTCTAAGCTACAATAAATATTAAGATTTTCCTATGAAGATCCAGATAACAGCCCAGGAGGAAACGCCTGATGCAAATTAGGAAATACTTGAATAAAAAATAGCTTTTCTCATTAAAAAAGCAATGTATATTCATTTGTTGGGAAAAAGAACATTGACTGCAGATGAATAAAAGCACTATATGCATAATGCCACCAGAGGTTACCATTGGGTAACACCTTGGGGTCAGTTTGTATCGTGTGTGAGTGTGTGTGTGTGTGAGAGAGAGTGAGAGAGTGAGAGTGAGAGAGCGAGAGAGCGAGAGAGCAAGAGAGAGAGAGAGAGAGAGAGAGAGAGAGAGAGAGAGAGAGAGAGAGAGAGAGAGAGCGCGAGCACGCGCGCGCTTGTGTGGGTGCGCACACCCTTGTATCAGTAAAAACTATTCCCTAAAAAGACAGAGAGAGATCTAGGAAAAAGGGGGCTATGGCCCTAGAACTCCTTCATCAGTCTGAAAAGCCTGTTTACTATCTTGACAAACTTTGAGAATAAATCAAATTTTAAAAATAATGTTTAATTTAATGGAAACCCTTAAGATCACAGCTTTTAGTGATCTTAATAACATACTAAACAATTTTTTTGACAATTCAATATAGTATTTGAGAGGGATTCTTTCATTCAACACACATTCAACAGCCTCTGAGCCATGTTCTATGCTAGGTACTAAGGATATAATGAAAAAGCTTCTGCCCTCTAGGAGCAAACCACCTATTAAAAGCTAATAGTGGGCCGGCTGAGTGGCTCAGTTGGTTAAGAGTGCAAGTTCTGAGCAACAGGGTCGCCAGTTCTATTCCCACATGGGCCAGTGAGCTGTGCCCGAGCTGAGCTGCTAATAGGTGGCGGGATGGCTCAGCTGATGAGAGCACGTGCTCCTAACAACAAGGTTGCCGGTTCTTCACCCTTTCGCCAATCAGGTTCAACCGGTCACAAACTGAGTCTAAACTTTCGTAAAACGAGTTCACCCTCTTGCCAGGTTACACTCCCGTATGAGATGGTGGGCCACGCCCACCGCAACTAAGATTGAACACGGCACCTTGAGCTGAGCTGCCGGTGGATGGCTGGATGGTGAATGGACTTGGAGCTGAGCTCGCTGCGCCCTCCACAACTAAGACAGAAGGACAACCACTTGGCTGTTCCCCTTCCCCAATTCCCCAACACTGTTCCCCTTCCCAAATTCCCCAATAAAAAATCTTTAACAACAACAACAAAAGCTAATAGTTATATTACAGAGGATCAAGTACTATGATAAAAGTTAATCACAAGGAGTGATACAACTGACATGAATGTAAAACATCCTGGAAAAGTGAAAATCTGAACTTGAGTTTTAACGAACTTGAACAGAAGTTCGGGTAGAGAAGAGGGAGGGAGAAAAGGATTTCAGATGGAAGTAAAGTATAATGCACAAGTCTAGAAGTCAGAAATCCTGGAAAGTACTCTCAGTTCTGCAACTTACTGGCTACTGATTAGTGACCTTAAAAAAAAGTCATTTACTTTTCTGGTATTCAGCTCTACATCTGTAAAATGGTTTTAACAGTTAATACCATCTTCGCCTACTTCACAATATTGTTGTAAGTAAAGCCATTGCCAACTATAAAATAATAATCATTACTGTATAATAGTTTAAGGAATTTAAAAGCTTACTTTCTTCTCCTTCAATACTGCAAAGGAGAATGCTGTTTCATCAACTCCTTCTGTTAAGCTTGTTTCCCTGAACTCAGGTAATAAATAATAGGTCTCTTTAACAACTTCCTACCACAAGCATAGTATTTAAGTGAAAGCAATCCTATCCTCAAAAAATGGCAGAACCCTCTATCAACGATAAGTACTAAAGTACCATTAAAGTCTGACAAAGTACTAAAGGCTTAACTTTTTAAGTTTCCATACATAATTTCTACTACAATATTCTAATTTTCTATTTTTAGTACGTCATCTCTACTGTGAAAGATTACCCTGACCACAACAAAAGACAGTCACTTTTTCTACTGTTCTCATACTACTCCTGTGGACATCCATTATAAGTGGTACCACACAATACCACTACTTCAGTTTTTGTCACTTGTGACAGATAACCTGGAAATTCTGATCAATCTCCAAATTTGCAAATACAGGTTTTTATATATACTCCTTTCTCCAGAATATTTCCATTAAGATTCCATGCTAAAAGTGACCGTATTTCCCCATGTATAAGACACTCCCATGTATAAGACGCACCTTAATTTTGGGGCCCAAAATTTGGAAAAAATGTATCACATAAAGTTACTGAACTCAAGTTTTATTCATCATAAAATTCATACAACTCCTCATCACTTGTGAGAAATGCAAGTAAAAAAAATCTACAACCACTGTATAAAACGCACCCAGTTTTTAGACCCCAAATTTTTCGAAAAAGGGTACGTCTTATACATGGGGAAATATGGTAGGTTCTCTCTTCTTTGATGAGAAAATTCTGCACTGATGAGCATTCCCCCAAAGTGCAGTGTGACCAATCAATTCATGTTATAAGACCAAACCACAGTCAAATTAATAAAATCTAACCATTATTTTTATGGAAAAAAGTTATCACTCCACTAGTCCTGAGCTAAACTGAGATTCAGATGCTGGATGATGTGGGCAAGCTGAATTCCTAAGACCTTGCATTCACACACTAGGTTCAATTCAAGTGATGACATTTCAGGAGCCTTTAGGTTTCAAGCACATTAAACCTGAGTATGTCACAGTATAGTGATATAGACATTTCTTCTCTCAGACTTTGGAGTCAGAAAAGGCATCTTCCGGTCTAACAGGATGTCTGACACCCACACCAGGTCCCCAACACTATCCTCATACTCTATGTTTACTAAACGACTTAGCCACATCTGCTATATACAAACTACTTAAAGACAGGCTCTCAAAAAAGTCTTTGTAAAGTTAGTTATTTGTAATTCAGGATAATATTCTACACATTTACACCAAAAAAACACACACATAGGGGAAAATAGCTGTAAATGTATCTTATGTTAATACTAGAGGTTAAATACGCTGTGTCTTGGAAACATAATAAATGGCATTTATGTGATCATCTGTTATCAGTCTGTGGTGGCAGGAAGACTGGATTTGTCCTTATAACCCCACTAGAGGGAAGAGGGAACAGAGTGTAAGAGGAAGGAACACAGGAAAGAGCCCATGTGCATATGAAGACTGAAACGCTTTGCGGAACTTATTCTTTATCCTTTTATTTTCTGGGGGCTTAAGAATTCCCTGACCCCCATTATGTGCCATCAAACTCAATCTTTCCAAATTATTAAAAATGATGACACTTGTAATTAGGTTGCTTATAGTAATGCAAGAGACAGGGAAATCACTTACCTGGTGAAGTTATTAACTTGCTGTGATCTTGACATATTTATACTGTTCAATTCTGGTACATTCAAATTGGATGACTGGTGTTTACTATGGCAATATGATTGATGTGCTTTATTTGATATTACACCATTACTACAACTTTCAAAACCTGGGGGGGGAAAAAAAAGATAGCTCATGAAAACACAAACACACACTAATTTATTAGGTTGTAAATAATGTACCCATATTCTGATTTCTGTATTTAAAACTCTTATAATATAGGAGAGTCAACAGACTGAAGAGTAATCAAATGATTAATTTCTTTGAAAGGCTATAAGTATACTTAATTGTGAGCTGTAATCATCTCCTCTAACATTATTGAAGGCTTCATTATGGATATTATCTAATCCTCACAACCCCGAATGAGGGCAGTGTTATCATCACCCCCACTTTACATATGAATATACTCAGGTTAACCATTTGTCCAAGCCTGAAGTGACTGGTTCAAGACGGGTGGTGGCTAAGGATACAAACAAAATTCATCTGCATTGTAAGGGATGGTGCTATAAATACAGAGGTAGTAATGTAGAAAGGTACATGCTGATTGAGAAAAAGCAAAGGTGTTACTCTATGAAACGAAATAGTATTTGACTTCTGTTTTAGAAAATTAAATGCACAGGGGAAACATAACACCTTGGAAAAACAGAATGAAAGAGACAAGCAGAGAAGACTAAGAAGGCTCAGAAATACACCTGTAGAAATTACATCATAAAAGCCAAGAAAGGAGAGAGTTCCAATCAAAAGAATACCACAAACCTTGTAGAGAATAAGGCTGGTGAGCCAAAAAGAGACAGGAGGAAATAAAAGGGCAGAGTGGACTCCTGCAAGAAGCCAGCTGGGAAACAATGAAACAGCAGGCAGCCCAGGTGGATGTGGTGACTGGTGGCCTCAGACATCACAGCCACATCACCACTTTTATATTTACACTTCATTAAAACACACAATTGCCTTTTCATTACCAAATATCTATGACTTAATTTCTAGAGACAACTCGAATGTTGGCCTTTGTGTATGACGATCTGCTATAATAACCTATTCTCAGAAACTCATCTTCAAGTTACTAAAAACATACTCACAATTTTTCTTCCAGAACATCTTGACACCAAGTATACACATGTGCAAAACAGCTATACAGACGTGTCTATAGATTTTTAAAAATTTTATTTTGGCTCAAAAATATAAAGAAGGGCAAAAATGTAAAAATAAATGGCTTAAGATTTTGACTCTCACCAGAAAAATGTGCAGTACTTCCTTTGCCTGATGCTAAATTGTGGATATTCATTCCATGGCTGGGGCTCATACTTGGACTACTAAAAGGTCGAGGACTAACAGGATAACTGTCTTGAGATTTTGGACTTCGGCCTCCCAAACATCGTACTTCACTATCTGTACCATTCACCATTTCTATAAACTGACGCACTCTAAAAAAGAAAAGAAACATTTACTTAAATAATTTTCAAATAGCTGTTTATTTAATAGCAACAGTTCTGAAAGGGGATATTTTAAGAACTTGTATTGATCAATAACTTTGGCCTTTAGATAATATGCTAAAAATACTAAATATGGTTTCATATACTATATTGCTTAGAATGAATTTAAAAGTTCCCAGAAAAATGAAACTATAATGCAAAAGACAATATATTTCCTTTAATCAAGATTTACTAAGAAAACGAAAATCTATCTTTAGCTATAATAAACAAAATCAAAATGGACTTTTAAGCTAAGGATAATTTAATCAAAATAATATTTGCACTTGGTAGCAAATCAGGTAGTAAGTGCATAAGAACATGATGGGGCTAACACAGATATTTCTACACCTCTATTCATAACAGCATTATTCACAATATCCCAAAGTGGAAGCAACTCAAATGTGTATCGATGGATGAGTAGATAAACAAAATGTGACCTATACATACAAAGGAATATCATTCAGCCTTCAAAAGGAAGGAAATTCTGCCATATGGTATAACATGGATGAATTTTGAGGACAATATGCTAAGGGAAATAAGCCAGTTACAAAGGACAAACATTTTATGATTCAACTTATGTGAGGTACCCAGAGTAGTTAAGCTCAAGTTAACAAAGGTAGAAACTAGAATGGTGGTTGCCAGGAACTGGAGAGGAGAACTGTGGAGTTAGTGTTTAATCGATACCAGGTTTTGGTTTGGAAAGATGAAAAAGGTTCTGGAGATGGATGGTTGGCGATGATCACAAAACAATGTGAATGTGCTTAATACTACTGAACTGTACATGTGAAAACAGCAAGTTTTGTTTTTTATTAGTTTCAGGTGTACAACACAGTGCAATAGCTATACTTTTTACAAAATGGCAAGTTTTATGTTATATATATTTACCACAATTTAAAAAAATGTCATGGACTTACTTATAAGATATTTTGCAGAAGGAAAAATAGATTCTCATCTCCTAAGTAAGATTTTCCACATTTTGAAACATAGAGACTGACAGAAGCACACACACAGCAAAAGATGCCATCTGCTTGTAGTCCTCAATATAAATGTTTATAACCTGTTACTTAAATGTGTTATATTACAAAATTATATGTAAGTATCTGAAACAAGGTAAAATAAAAACTAACACCTGGAAATAATTTTAGTTACATACAGCACACACATGTGTAATAAATATAACATTTTATTAAACAAACTCACTTTAATGTGAAAAGAAGATTAGGATTTCTTTCAAGTAAACTTGGGTATAACTGTTGTGTTGTTTCAATGGCTTCTCCCATTCTTCCTGCTAATACCAATTTCTGAATTCCTATTCAGAAAAAGAGAATAAATGATTAATTTTTAAGAGTAGAAACATAAACTTAGTGGACTCTCAACAAAAAAAGACAGTAAAATATTTTAAAATAAATTACTGTAATTAATTTCCATTTTTCTAAAATCACAGTTTCTATTAGGTGATCAAGGGAAAATTTCGGACAATTAAAAAATTAAAAAAACAAGTACTTTCATTAACTATTAAAAAAAATCACAAACTATCATACAAGTAATATAGGAAAAACACCTCTTAAGCAATATTGATGTATTAAACACTAATTTAAAAAATAGACATGTTTATGGTATACATGGTATTGATAGTTTCAAGATATATACTGATCTCCAAACTCATCAAATTATATTCACTAAATATGTACAGCTTTTAATGTCAATCATACCTTATAAAAGTTTTTAAAAAATGACCATAAGATACATTACAGAAATATTAAAAATGTCTTATCAAATATGAGAACCTTTCGAATCCATTACTAAAAGAATGCTAAATTTGAGTAAGATCTGAATTCAACAGACACTCATTGAGCATTCCTTGTGTCAGATATTTGTTAAATTAGATAATGAGGATACAGAGAGTTAAGTGATCACCTGTTCACCAGAGTTTATAACAGTGAGACAGACAAGCATACAAAGCTATAATACAATATAATCAGTGTTATTATAGCAGTTTGACCTATAAAACAATTGTTTTCATTCATCATGACTTCACCCATCACATTTTGTTTTTATGCCTATACTCTCACTAAGTCATACACTCCCTGTTAGACTAACCACACCAATTTTAGGATGGCTAACTGTGGAACAGTTATCATGCTGACTTGCCCTTGTCAGAACAGGCCCTACTGCTCTGCCCTCAAGCACTAGGACCTAAGCAATAAACACTTAAGATCAATACCATCTTAAATTTAGATAGCAATTTAAATACAAAAATACTTAAATTTCTTTCATATATTATCTCCACTAACGTCTAACCATTAAAAAAAATTTTTATTAAATGTTTATTTCCTGAAAGCTCACGAAAACATTTTTAATTTTAAAAATGGCCAACACTTCTTACAAAAAATTCTCCAAAATTACATATTTCTACATACAGAACATTAACAAGTCCTATGTGAATTTTTTAAAGGTAATCTTCAAAAATGTCAATGAAAATAAATTTTAGAGGCATCAATTTTAATCTACTTGAAAATTTTAAGTTTGAAAATAAAATTTCTAAAAATCGATATAACCAAACCTGTAATCTGAAAACAAGTGTTAGCCATGTACCATAGGGTCCTTACTTTGTCTATTTTTAATGGAAGCTAATTCTTCTAGAACCGTCTGGTCTGTAGATCTGGCAAAGGCCTCTGCTGTGGCACAGTACCCATGGTGGACTAAATAAGATGAAACCATTCTTAAAGTAAAAAGAAACACACAACTTTTAGTCAACAGAATACATGCTTCATACTACAATTTAATATAAACAAGGTCTACTCTGGGGTTACAAAACCAACATTCCCTTGAAATAATTAAGGTTTTAATAACCTCAACTTTAAAATAAGTTCAAAAAATCATTTTGCTCTTTCATGTATTTCTAAGATGGTAACTGCAAATGCTATGTTAAGACTACTCTCCCTAAAAATAAGTATTACTAGAGAATCAAGAACACCCCAGTATCCCCAGGTCCTTTCCTATTTTTCCCATCCTTAGAGTCAATCCTACTAACCATAATTTATTTCATATTTATATGACTTATCCCAGTAAAGTGCTGCCATTTTGTAAAGTAAAACATTTAAAAATAACAGATTAACTCTTTGTGTTCTCGAGTTCAATCCCTTTCTTTACCCATCAGTTACATTAGATGGGATCACAAAGTATGAACACAAGAAATACTGTATTTTGCCGTGTATAATGTGCACTCTTTTGCCTAAATTTGTGAGGGAAAAATAAGTATGCGTATTATACATGTTTATCTATATAAATGTTTTAAATTCTTTATTTATGCTTATGAGTTAAAAGTGTAATAATAAACACATACATACATACATACATAAATTCCTTTATAATAAAAAAAAAACAGGTACCTTAACAAATAAAAATTTGAATTAAAAAAATTAAAATGAGGGGCCGGCCGAGTGGCTCAGTTGGTTAAGAGCTCACTCAAGAGTTTGAGCTCTGAGCAACAGCAGTTCGATGCCCAGCCCAAGCTGAGCTGCCGCTAAGCTGCCAATAGGTAGCAGGATGGCTCAGCAAAAAAAAAAAAAAAAAAATTTAAATGAAAGTTTATTCCCTGAAAGTTTGGACCAAAAATGTGGGTGCGCATTATACACGGGAGCGCATTATACACGACAAAATATGGTACTAAGGTGAACCTGGAGAGAGATCTTCCATAAAAAAGTCTGAGAGTGAAAATACTAATGGATGAAAAGTTGGCTTTCTAATCAATAATAAATCAATTAATATGACTGTGCACCGATTACTCAAATATGATTTACATGTAAGTGACACACTTCCAAGGAACAAGTTTGTTTTTTAAAAAGTCATCGAGTGGTCAAAACACAGATTTACATCTAGCCATAAAGTGTTAGAAAACCTGTTGATTGACTCAGCAATATTAACCCAAATAACCAATATATCCAAATGCTCAACTCTTTTTTTTTTTTTAATTGGGAAATTGGGAGAGGGGAACAGTATTGGAGAATTGGATAAGGAAACCAGCCAAGTTGTTATTCTTTAATCTTCATTGTGGAGGGCGCCAGATGCTTATCTGGCTTCCCATCAGCAGCTCGTGGCTTCTAAGCTCAAGGTGCTGTGTTCAATCTTAGTTGCGGGTGGGTGTAGCCACCATCCCATGCAGGAATGGAATCAGCAGCCTTGTTGTTAAGAGCGCACGTTCCATCCACTGACCCATCTGGGAGGCAGCTCAGCTAAAGGTGCCGAGTTCAGTCTTAGTTGCTGGTGNGCGCACGTTCCATCCACTGACCCATCTGGGAGGCAGCTCAGCTAAAGGTGCCGAGTTCAGTCTTAGTTGCTGGTGGGTGTAGCCACCATCCCATGTGGGAGTCGAACCAGCAGCCTTGTTTTAAGAGCACATGCTCTATCCACTGAGCCATCCGGGTGGCATCTCAGCTCAAGGTGCCAAGTTCAGTCTTAGTCGTGGGTGGGCATAGCCCACCATTGAACAGGCAATCTTGTTACAACAGCTGAGCCATCCTGCCACCTGCTGGCAGCTCAGTGACAGCTCAGTTCGGGCGCAGCATCACTGGCCCATGTGGGAATCGAATCGGCAGCCCTGTTGCTCAGAGCTCGCGCTCTTAAGTCAACTCTTAACTGAGTCACTCGGCCAGCCCCCAAGTGTTCAACTCTTAAACCTGCCTTTATCTGGCACTACTAAGGGCCCACTAGAAAACAGTAGGAAGCAGTGGTTCAAACAAATGGGACTGAGAGGGCAGGGGGGAAAGGCTCCAAGAAACAGATTTTTCATTTTATTTCATCTAATCGTTCCAACTAATTTAAGAGGGTAGGAGAAAACCTTTTACAATGGACTTTCCAGGAGGTCATGGTGAGTTTCAATTTTGTTAAGAATGGGGTAGGGGTGGGGGCCCTCGTGGAACTCTGGCGATAGGATTAAGATAAATAATATTTCCTCTACTACTATCCTGCCATGATGCTCAGTGGTGACCATTTTTAAAGCATCAAAGGGGTGTGACCCCAAGAGAGCAACCTATCCTAGCTCTCACTGGTGACAACTATGGGATTCTGAGTCAGGGTTCATTATTTTTCCAACTGTGCCAGACAAGAACACTAGTGTACAGCCTCTGTAATGCCAGATGATAGTAACTCTAGGAAAGAAGCAAGTTCTCAGAATCATCATCATTTCTTCCAGTCATTATCTCCTCCAAAACATACACACAAAAAGCTCCATTAGATTTATAAATTTAAGATTGTTCAAAGAAATTATAAAGACATTTAAGATGAATTGTGTCAGACTGATGGTATCTGAAAGCCTTTGCTATTTTCTTGGGTTAGATTAATAGTGAAAATGATTAAACTTACCAGTGTTTATTTAATTTTTAAGTCTGTATTTTAAGATTTAAGAGCTACTATTCAGTACTACTGACATCCAGGTGTCACCTCTAGCCTTTCAGCAAAGGTATAGTCTAAAAAGTTGACTGCCATAATTATATTTTCCTACTGACTTCCATAATGAAATTCTACTTTTTCATAAAAAGCTCCCTAATAAAACCAACTGAATAACTTCAGTAATGAATGAGTTGAGATAAAGGTTATTCATCTTATGGTACTTGTCCTGACACCCACTGTGTGCTCTGCTCCTGCCTATCCCCCTCCACTGTTATTACTGCCTCCTCAGTGCTTATCCTGCATTTAGGAATCCTAACTCCATGTTCACTGTTTCTTGGTTTTCATTCCCTTTACCTCCTTTTAAATGTCTAACAGCGCGTACCAATAAATGGCATCAAAAATAATTAGTAAGATTTCTAAAAACTCCTTAAGCTGGAGGCTTTTGGTCTGACCTTCCTCTTTAGAATAAGAGCAATTATAACTTTCCTGAATCCACATGATAAATAACCAACGTTTAGGAAAAAAAGGGATCCTAGTAAGCAAAAATAGCTGATATTATTCTTATAAGGTAATCACTGGAAAAATTTAGCCAAATCCTGAAAAGTGAAGTGCACATATTAAGTCTGTATTCCAGTATATAAACTATATCATTATTTTGATGCTTATTCTTACTGAGCAATAATTCTTTTCCCCCCATAAATATCTGAACTATTGCTGAACAACATAGTCAAGTTCACATCTAAAAATATGATCCTGAATTATACAATCTAAATTATCTTTCTGAATTTATCTTTTGCATTGGCACTATTAATAGCTGAATCACATAATCTATTGAAATCGTCAAATCCTATTACTAAGGATAGCAAATTAATTATCCTAACCTAAGCGATCTAGTGTCACTTTATTTCCTCCATCAAATTAATAAGTCAGACTAAAATATAATTCTGTATGTGTGCCACCAAATAAAACATTATTTTCAATGGTTTAAATAGAGTGAATTACTTTTATTAAAATGTAAGCAATACATTAAAATCAAGATGTGAGTAGATTAAAAAGCTTCAACACATATTCTTTTGTACCGGAATAATAAAATGTTTTATACAAATGTACATTTAAATAATGTCAATTCAAATTTCTTTCCTTACTTTTGTATCATGGTCTGCCATTCTCCTTCTCGATCTCCAATAGGAAACCGATCTATCTGTGCCTGTATTTTGGTTCTCCACTCCCGCATGTAGTCTTCTATATCAAACACGAAAGGATGTTGCCCAAAATTGGCATCGACGACTTCTCCTGGTGTTTGGAGCCCAACAGTAGGATATAAATTTGGCTGTAAGACAACACATTTCACTAAGTATCTATCCCTTTTATGTTAAAGAGTATTCATTCTTTCAAATGATACCTTTAAAGTAACACAACTACAAATTTACCTCATGAATATTTTAAAATCTCAATCCAAAACTAGTAGAGGAATACTAAAGCAAATGATCTAAATACAATGTATACTAGATGAAAAACATTATTTCTTGTAATATAATCATCAGGATGAAATATGAAACAACTTCAGCTACCTATTTTTATTTATTCAGAGACCACGTGGAAAATATACTAATAAATGAAGACACAATTCTTGCTCTTGAGAATATGCCATATACTATACAGATTCAAGTATAAACACATAACTCAGGTTTATCCCTTTATATATGATATATGTGATACAGTTCTAGAAACTACATGTCAAAGCTAGTTACCAGAGAGCTACAGTCCTAAATGGGCACGTGCTATTTTAGGTTTACCAATTTCACTTATCTGTACATTTGGGATGCCTTTATACAGGGACACTGATAACTAAGTAAAATACAATGCCATTAAGAGTGGGGATTCTCTATATAAAAATGAAAGACTCAAATGCACACATTTCAAAAAGAGGAAAAGGATGGGTTTAAATATTCAAATTCATAAAGAAATGCATTTAGATATACTCCAATATTTCAAAGCTAAACAATCAAGTTTAATAGCTTCATGTATACAAAAAATGTCGACTCCTCCTTTCAGCTCTGTCACTAGTTGTTACATCTAGTAATCTAGGAAGAATGAGTTACTGAATGTCTACTAAATGACAGAGTTTAACCATTATAATAATTCTGTGAAGTAATTATTATTATTTGCATCACAAAAAATATAGAAATTGAGGATCAGGGGCAAATTAACTTGCTCATGGTCATTCTACACTACGGCAAAGGTGGGACTGGGAAAACTGGGCTATCTGACACGAAATCTAAGTTCATTTTTTTTTTCCTGGAACTCCTAATCCTACTTCATCTTCACTCTCAGTATTTATGCCTTACTTCTTTGCTTTAATGGTTCTCACAAGTATTTTCAGTACAAAATTAGGTAAAGATAAAGATGTGTATGTAAATATAAGATGTTTAAGTAGATTTCACAGCAAAAAGATAAGAGGATATATATTTAAAAACAATAGCTCAACCAAGTAACCAAAATCAGAAAAAAAAAGGAGTACTGTGTTAAAATATTGAGAAATATAGCTGCACTACATTAGGGTAAAAAATGGTATTGCAATATACACAAATGTTCTGATTTTTAATAATCAACAGAACCATCAAGTTCATAAAATTTTAAGCCAAAAAGACAAGTGAGATAGTGAGATACTTATTACAACCTTTTCATTTCACCAGTGAGAAAACTAAGACCAAAAGAGTTTAAGGGATTAATCCAAAAGCACACAGCTTGTTACTGACACACACAAAGGAAAAGAACAACTCTGATGTCTCCACTTCTAGCACAGTACTCTTTCCATTAAAACCCATTACAAAAGTATGCTTTAAAATACAAATGTGTGAAGCCAAAAACTCTTCATAAAGATAGCAACAGAGTAAAAGGCAATCCTATTAGTTAAGCAGAGTTTATAATCCTGACATTCAGCAATGTCCAAACAGAGATGCTTTCATTTTTTCATTTTATTTATTTTTTATTATTAGTTTCAGGTGTACAAAACAACGTAATAGTTATACATTTCATCCCTCACAAAGTGATAAACCCTCTCCCCCAATCTATTGCCCTTCTGACGTTGTATATATCTAGTCAAACAGAGATGCTTTTAGAATCGTTTGCTAATCTAAATTTTCTTGACAAATTCAGGAAAATAACTCATATTAACACTATAAAAGAAAATCATTTAATACTCTGATAAAAATGTGCCACAAAAAGTTTAAAACGTCCCTGTGACAAAACATGCCATAAATCTCAAGACAAATGGACTTCATAGGACAAAAATCTGCCACACATGTAAGAAAGGATCAGTATTCCAAATATAAAAACTATTCTCACAACACAGGAGGACAAAGATTACTAGTTCAATTAAAATATAAAGGGACACTTAACCTCACTCAATTTTTTAAAATGCAAATAAAACAAGATGATTTTTTTGCACATCAGGTTAAGATTTAAAAGACTGACAATACCCAGTGTTGATGAAGGTTGAGAAAATAAGCCCTCTCTTCCACTGTAGGCAGAAATGTAAACTTATATAATCTTTTAAGAAAAAAATTTGGCAAATCTATTAAAATCGACAAAGCAATTTCACTTGTAAGAATTTAATCCTACAGAAAAAAAATATACAAAGATATGTGTTCTGTAGCATTATCTGTAATGGCAATTAAAAAGTATCCATTTATAGGTGGTATTATCACATACCACATTCACTGAAGTTCAGACTCCAGTAATTATAAGATATGCCATCATGTGTAAGACAAAAACACTGTCCATTAAACTCTGACAGACCACAGATTCTAAGATGCATCCCCATTTCATAAATATTAAAATATGAAAAAATGTACACCTCAGAATCATGATAGTACATCATACATTATAAAAACAAGCAAAAAGTATAAAAACTTTGTGTACAAAGATGTCCAATATATATTACTAATTGAAGAAAGCAAGCTATAGAATAGTGCATCAACTATGATCCCATCTTTTCTGTCAGCATTTAAATAATGGATGCACTGGCTAACATAGTTTAGAAAAAGATCTGGAAGAATAGACACTCAAGTTAACAGTCATCATATCTAAAGAGGCTGGGATTTTGAGGAACTTCTCTTTTGAACATTTCTGTATTTATAAACATTTCTTTTATTATTTGAATATTTAACACTATGTATTACTTCTGTAATCAGAAAGTGATAAAAAACTGAAAACAAAAAGTAACTATAAATCTTATACCACTTAACATTAAAAAACTAAAGAATTTGAGGGAAGGGGATTAAGAACATAGCCTTTAACTAGCTAAACTATAAATTTAAAAAATATAACAGAATTTTTGACTTGTTAGATTATAGATTTCTAAAAGCAGAATAAGGCAATGGTTTTTAATTTAGTAAGAATTGTACAGCCATCATCACTAATTTTCATTTTCATCATTCCAAAAAGTAACCCCCTACCTATTAGCAGTCACTTCCCATATCCCCATCACTGTAACCTCTGACAACCACCCATCTACTTTCTGACTCTACAGATTTGACTATTCTGGACATTTTGTATAAAGGAAATTACACAATATATGGTCTTTTGTGACTGGCTTCTTTCATTTAGCATGTTTTCAAGGTTCATCCACGTTGTAGCATGTATCTAGATTATTGATTATTGTTTTATGTAAAACAATGTTTCCTAGGAAACTCTCTCTCTCTCTCTCTCTCTCTCTCTCTCTCTCTCTCTCTCTCTCTCACACACACACACACACACACACACACACACACACACACACACAAAATCACTCTTTCCTATGGAGAATTAGACAAGTGAGAATAATTTAAGTCTCTATGAAGAGACTAGAAAAACTGATCTCATTTCTATTACCCTATGAAAAAACAAAGGTAAATATTAAAAATACTATTCAAAAGTTAAATATACACAATATAATCATTTTCTCAATAGCAGTTTTGTTCTATTATATTTAAAAGATTTTTTCCTATGAAAATGAACACAAATAATGTATCTGTAAGAAATAATTTCAAATCAGCCTAAGGAACTGGAAAGCAGCATCATTTTAAGTAAGAACAGCTTCCTTGACAAAAGGAATCTCCTAATCCCAAACTGAATTAATCAGTTTATAGATAGGACATTTCTTAAACTGGTAATGTGAGCTGAGGAAGAAAGATTATTCTGAAGAAAATCTAAGGTTTTCAAAGCTGTAGAAACACCCTATGTTCCATGATAGGTGTAACACAGTCTACGTAAACTTTTTTGTTCTGTAAATATACTCTACCAGGATTTTATGCTATAACTGGAGAGTGCGAGATCACAGGTACAGAACCTATAAACACATGTTTGATGGTTCCTTTAGGGGGAAGATTAAAATTTTCCCACCTTTTTAGTAGAAGAATGGTATGTTGCATGTGGAAGTCCCAGAACATCTGACAGTCATAAAACTAACCAGCTCTCAGAACCACTATATTAAAAGGGAACTTTTAACAACCATCATAACCACCACTTCACCCACTGTTACAAAGTTGAATATCACCACTGGTTAACTACAGACAAGGCAAAACATAACTGGTGATTCTAAAGTGGGATAAAAAATTATAAGGTTACAAAAATAGTCAACATGTCTACAACCAGCTAAGTATTTTCCAAACGATCACCACTACCTACCTACGAGGAACAAAAACTAACAAAAAATTTGCTCCCACTGACAAGTTGTTTAGTGCCACAAAAAGAGAAAACACAAAAACCCCAGCTCTTAAGCCCTTTAACAAATTCCAAACGAAACTTACTCATTCCAAAGCCTCTGCAATGGTTCCGAACATCAGCCCTTCTACCAGCACCTGCACCCTCCCACCCTACCATAGATGTGTTTCTCTAAAGCTTACCCCTTTCCACTTACACAAGTGATCACATCCCCACTTGTCTACTCGAGGGTATGATCACTGTTACCTTTCCTCTCTATATATCACATCAACTGTTTTGCTTGCCATTGAATCATTCTCATCAGCAAACAAACATCCTGTTAAATATAACAAAAACTCTTCTATTGCCTCCACTTTCAATGCCATCTACAACATCCCATTTCATTACTCCCCACTGTGGTCAAAATACTCCAAAGTTGTCTGTACTCTATAATTTCCCTCTTCCTCTTCTCTCTTTTCAATCAGGATTTCTCCATCACTATGCTGAAATTTTCTTGAAAAGGTCATCAGTGACCTCCACTCTGCTAATGCCACTGGTTGATTCTTGGTCCTTATCTTATGTATCACAGTGGCATCTGACACGTTCTTCCTTCTTGATGTATTTTCTTCACTTGGTTTTGAGGACACCCAATTCTTAGTCTTCCTCCTACCTCACTGACCGCTCCTTCTCAATTTCTCCATGCAAGTTCCTTCTCTTCTCCCAAATATGGCATGCCCCAGAACTCAGTCCTTGGTCCATTTCTCTTCTCTGCCTATACACGCTCCCTTGTCGATCTCATCCAGTCTCATAGCTTTAAATTTAAACACTGAAATGCCAATGACTCTGCTGGAAATTTTAATTTCCAGCTGAGATCACTCTTTTGAATTCTAGGCTTGTAGTACCAGCTGCATACCTACAACTTTATTTAATTTATCCGAAATTAAACTTCAGATCTTCCCCCCTTGAAACCTGCTCCATGTATATACAGCCTTGTCTATATCAGTAAGTGGAATCTCTATTCTTCTAATTCTTCAGCCCCAAAATCTTGAGGTCAGATCCTCTTCCTCACATTTCCACTTCCAATTCATCAGAAAATTCTCTCGGCTCTCAGTTGGATTTTTAAAAAACGTATTTATTTATTTATTTAATTTAAACTCTTTAATCTATCTGTAACTTTGGTATAAATATAAGACAAAATCCTAAGATTATGAATTTTTTCAAAAGGATAAACACTTATTTCACCACTACTTATTAAATAATGCAGTTTTGATCTGCAGACTCTGAATTTTCTTTGGCTTAGCAAAGTTGTTTTCTATTACAACTTCGGTTTCTTGTTTTTCTAGGATTTTCTTCAGGAATATTAACAATCTAGAGATTGAATGTCTATTCTCTGCCTGAGTTCCTGTCATTTCAAAATATCTCTGAAACTGAAATATGTCTTATAATCAATGGCACCTTACATCTGGCCAGGCAGCTGTCATGATGCAGCTGTCACCAACTACACAGGTGTGAATTTGTTAAAGAATGAGCTCACTAAAAACTCCAGAACTTGATTCGTTTTCCTGGTGAAACAGCTGGATAATTGCAACCCCTAAGACATTTTAGTCAATGAGCCAACTGAGAAGGGAATATCAGAGTCCTATTTATTGTAAAAAGAAAAAAACCTGTGATAAAATCCCTGGCAGTGTGAAGAATGTGACAGCATGAAAACCTGCACAGCTCAATAAGGAGCTTGGAAGAAAATGCCAGGGACATAGAGGAGAACTCTTAGGTTTTGAAACATTTCTGATGGCATACCAGACACTGTCGTGTAGAAAACACAGACATCAACTCTAAAAAAAGTGGTTTAAAAGGTTGGACTCTGAACATGAAGTTTCGGGAACACCTTAATCAATTTATATTGTGTATTTCATCATTTTTAGGTGTGCAACAAGTGATACTGATTCAAATATACTAAATACCCTAAGAGATTACTGGGTAAATATAAAAGAAAAATTTTAAGTCATAAAAAAGCATTATATCACAGTTTGTTAGCTTTCCTCCACCCCCAAGTGTCATATGTGATGCATATTACAATTAACAGAGCCTTTGATCTGGTAAATAAGGTATTTAGAATCATACCAGTTCTCACATCTCTAGGGATGTGAGTCATGATCATCTCTTGCCTGGATTTCTGCAATAGCCCCTCTCAGGTCGGCTTGCTTCTACCCCTACACTCCTCTACAGTCTATTTTTCAACCCAACAGCCAGTGATCCTTTAAAAACTGAAGTTATATTCTGATAACTAAAACTCTGCAATGTTTCTGTATTTCACTCAGAGTCAAGGCCGAGGTCCTTACAATGGCCCTCAAGCTCTAGATGATCTAGCTCACTCTCTCCTATCATTGTCTCTGACTCATCTCCTACTACTCTGCCTTCCTTATGTCTCTCTACCTCATTTCATGCTATTCTTCAAAAACACCAGACATGCTCCTGCTTTAGTGTCATTCATTCCCCTAACTGTTCCCTTTGCCTAGAACATTCTTGATCTACATATCCGTTTAGTTAACTTTCTCACTTTTTCAAGCCTCTGCTCAAGTCTTAACTTGAGCAAAGGTGAGCAAACTACATGCTGTGTTCAGTGGTTGGTACTCCCACACTCTTTTCTTTCTTTGAAAAGTACTTGAAACCTTTTAAAATGTTATAATTTACTTATTTTTAATGTACTGTTTATTCTCTAACTTCCCCAATTTGAATACTCCAGAAGGACAGAGGCCTTTACTTGTTTTCTTGAACGATGTATCCAAGCACAGAACCTGCCACACAGTAGGCATGGAATATACACTGAATTAATAAATGACTAGAATTTCTGTACAATCACTTGCTGAAAAGTCCAACGATACCAAAGAAACATATTTCAAATGAATGCATAATGACATTAAAAATGTATTTTAATAATCAACCCTGGTTTATTTTTTAGCTACAACAAGGTTCACTTGTGCAATGGTGTCCACTGCAATTTTGAGCTTACCATATTTTGCAATCTACAATTTGTAATTTTTTGCCCAAATTTGTGAGGGAAAAATAAGGATGTACAGTATACATGGGTAGTACTAATTCCGTATATATAAATGTTTTAAATTCTTTTATTTATACTTACGAGTTAAAACTCTAGAAATCAATAATGATATCCACATGTAAAATAATACCCTGAAATACAATAATCGTTACAACAAACGTACAACAAACTTGCAAAGACGAAGCGTTCTTGGCCTTCTATGATGTGTAAATATCATAAATTTGCTACCAGTACATAAAATTTCTTATACCATAATATGTTAAAAAAATAAATGCTAAAATCCCTCTATAATACAAAAAACAAGTACCTAAACGTAAACAAATAAAAATTTAAATTAAAATATTAGAATGAAAGATTTTTTTCCCTGAAATTTGGGCCAAAAACGTGCGTGCACATTATACATGGCAAAACATGGTAATTTCTGAAGGTCTACACCAACGGTGGCTAGAGAAAGATAAAGAATGTATTCTAAACATGCTTAGTACTAGTTTCTTTATACTTTGTTCAATTAAAAATGAAAACTGCATTAAAAAAAAATAAATATGTCTTACCGGTAGGTCGGTGAAGGCAATACCTAAAAATAAAAAAATAAAAAGTTGGCATTAGAAGCTGTTTTTCAAAGGCAGATTATGGTGACAAGCTAAATTTCTAACTAAAATGAAGATAAAACGGCAAAGGCAGAAAAGGAAAGAATTAAAACCTAAATATAAAATAACAACAGTTATTTTTTTTCTCAACACTAACATAGGTCTGAGTGAATCCTGACCCCTTTTTCAAGATCATCATCCTTATTAGTCACACACCAATTTTATTTTGGAGGTACTGCTATTGCCTCCAGGATTTTTTAAATGATTTCAGATATGTCTTCAAAGCTATGCTAGGAACCATGTAAGAAAATTGGTTGCAAAATAGTCACATTTGATTTTTGACTGATACCCAAAGTGCTTTAACCGGCTTTATCATTTAATCTTTCTCACCTAGATTTAGCTTTTAAATAATTTGGGGGAAGGGAAAGATTTTCTGTTACAAACTAAGGCAAAACTATGGAAAATGCAGTATTTTTGTTTCTTAAAATAATATAATATCTTTTAAAAGTACATTTTTTTAGTAACTTTTTACTACTCTGGGGGAAAAAAATAATCCCTCCTTCAAAGTATACATAACTGAGAATTTCTCTTGAATGTCTTCTGACAGTAATTTCAACAGAGTTATGTTCCAAATACACTTGAACAATGTCAGTGTCATTGGAATAAGTCTGCTGGCATCCCAAAGTAACAATTCAATAATCTCCCTTCAAACATTAAAATATACTGCTTATCTGAAAATAAGATAATAAATAAACCAAATATTTCTATAGACCTCATTCATATGCTTAAAAAGTTTGAGTTCTAGTTTAATGAGAAGGGGCGGTATTGGTGAGTTAATCTAAAATCTTCCAGTTTAAACACACATTAAAACAAAACAAAAAACCACACCAGCAGTACTGCTAAGTGATCATCTTCTGAAAAATGAAGATATTTCCATTCAATTATCTTTAAGGTCTCTTCCACTTGAGATTCTATGGCTCTATAATTGTGCTGTACCATCAGAAAATTATCTATTAAATAAAGTTAGGGCTGGCCAAGTGGCACGTTGGTTAAGAGCTGGCTTGGGATGCCAGAGGGCCCCGGTTCGGATCCCACATATGAGGGCCAGTGACACTGCCCTCTACAGCTAACATGCTGAACCTGGAGCTGGGCTGCCGTGAGTCACCGGCGATGTCTAGGCTGCAGCCCCTGGGGCAGTGGGTTGCCATGGGCTACCGTGAGTAGCCAGCAGCCAGCATGAGCAGCCATCTAGAAGCTGGTGACTGATCTGCCTTGCCCAGGAAGAGCGCAATGATGGTGCCAACTTGGGCCAGTGAAGCAACGTCCTCCACAACTAGACTGAAGAACAAAAGGACAGCAACTTGTCTGTTCCCTTTCCCCCAATTCCCCAGCGCTGTTCCCCTCCCCCAATTCCCCAATAAAAAATCTTTTAAAAAAAAGTTAAAAGACAAACTGACTCTAAATCTCTACTATATGTTTTTAAATAAATGTGTAAAAATAGTACTTTGCAGTTAAAGCCCTTTAAAAAAACTAGTAAATTAATGCTGCTTGTCAAAAGCAAAGGAAAGCTAGAGGTCCTTGCTTTGCCAACCCTGGTAAAATATTCTGATTACTTTTAGCTTCATTAATAAATAGAAAGCAAATTGACTGTGGGACAAATATGAAAATTTATTCTAAAAATTTCAGAAAACCAAAAAGGATACAGAAAATAAGTAAAATATTATCATAAATATCTTTACCATTTTTCATAACATAACAGCCTAGTCAATTATTTTCTTCAAAGATGACTTTGTAACAAAGACTGCCTAAATTTATATTGTTTTAGCAAAAACTAATTTTTGTCATTACTAAAATCTTTACTCTTTAAGAAAACCTCTAGTGAAAACTCTAGCTTAATTTAATAAACATTTTTGACCACTGGCAAATGTAGCTACTTCAGCCTATACAGTCAGACCACAAAAAGATGCCATTTTAACAAGTTGGTAGAATTATTTAAATACACTGAGACCAATTTTTTTATATATTTCTAATTTCCTGATTTGTCAAGAGGCTCTTTGAAAAGTGATCTACAATTGATGAATGACATTCAATAAAACAAAGTAAAAAAATTTCAATTAAGTTAACCTAGATACTGAAAATGTTTATCCTTTAATTATTTTCTTAAATAAAAACTTTTCCATTTGTCTGTATGTGGTAGATATACATTTTGAAAACCTTCATGAGTCAGAAACTAAGGATGTATCAGCTTTGGGGTAAAAATTATCCACTTTGGGAATCACAAGGGAACACTAACTGAATATTTTATCTTCTAGATGCTAGAATCTAGACCAGAGGCAAGCACACTTCTGTAAAGGGCGAGAGAGTAAATATTTTGTGCTCTCTAGGCCATATGGTCTCTGCTACAGCTACTCAATTCTGCTGTGGTAGCAGAAAGTAGCCATACCCAGCACAAATGGATGTGGCTGCGTTACAATAAAGCTTGAGTTAAATAATCAACAGGAGACTGATTTGGCCCATGGTAACCTCTGTTTTAAAGGAATAATTTTGCTCACCACTGTTTTACCACTGCATCCCTGGCATTTAGCCCAAAGTCTGATAAACAAAGATAATAAACAACACTTAGTGAGTACTCACTATGTGCCAGGCACCTAAGAACTACACACGTATCATTTCAGTTCACTCTAACAACCTTAATAAGGTAGGTATTATAGTGACACTAGTTTATAAACTGAGGCACAGAAATGTTAAGTAACTTGCATAAGGTCACATGGCCTAAATCAGAAGACAAACCCAGGCAACTAAAGAACCCATCCATATTAACCACTATTATACTGTGTATGTGCTTAATATTTATTAACTTATCAATAAATAATGCTAAATGTTTCTAATTTACCTAAAATTAGAATGTAATTCCATCATTAGGTATGCTTTACTTAAAAAAAAATCTCACATTTTAAAAATAGCTTTCTTATTCAAGAGAAAACTTCAATTTAAATGTCTGTGAAAAACTGAACAGAGAAAAATAAAATCATATCACCTATGATCTTCCCATCGCCCCAAATAAAATTTCTTCTCTGGAATAAAGTTGAAAAACTGTAAAAACACTAATTCTGGTTTTAATAACATGTCTATTGCATTTCTGAACCAAAGGTCATACCTAAAATATTTCTCCTGGTTTAATTCAAGATCTTAAATATCTTAAGTGGCCAAGCCAACTTAGACTATCCTAGTTAACTTCTTTGATAAGTCAAAGCCAGAATGGTAACAACAAAGAAACTGAAGGGCCTGTATCCTTCTAGAAACCAGTTGGCCACAACAACCAAATTACAAATACACATATAATTTGAATGGCATCCTTAACATTCTTGTACTGATAAGAATACAGCTGACCACTGCACAAAGCAAGAGTTAGGGGTGCTGGCCCCCTGTGCAGTAGAAAATTCTCATATAACTTTTGATTCCCCAAAAGCTTAAGTACTAAGAGCCTACTGTTGACCAGAAGCCGTACCGATACATAGTTGACAGATATTTTGTATGTTATATGTATTATACTCTACTCTTACAATATTCTGCATTCTTACACTTAAGGCTAGAGAAAAGAATATGTCAAGAAAAATCCCTTATGATATGTCTTCCTTATAAGACAAAATACATTTACAGCATTGTATGTATTTATTGAAAAAAATCCACATATAAGTGGAACCACGCAGTTCAAATCTGTGTTATTCAAGGGTCAACCATGTATAAGGATCTTTTGTGAACTTGGGACAACCTTTAAGTCAAATAACAGGATTTCAAAATCAGTATTAATAATCAGAAGGAAAAGATTTAAGCCAAATAAAAATATGAAGAAGCCACTAACTGTATATTAGGGTATGTTGAAACACTAAAAAAGAAAAACTGTCACCAATGCAGTCAGATATTTAGAATTTTCTACTATGAAATGACAGAAAGAATAGTTTTTGTGTTATATTAAAGAACATCTATTGCATGTCTAAGCATACTATTTGCAGTCTAATTTTCAAATACAATTTATAAGCAAACTGAAATTTCTGCCTTCTGGGGTTACTTAGTTTTTGCCTTCTTTCACTATATCTCATTGAAATAATCTGCTATGAATTAAGGACATTTCAAACAGTGATAGTAATGTGAAATCTTTTTATTTTTAAAGCATCAGTCCTGCTATCCTTCATATGTTCTGTAATACAAAAAACAAATACTAAAAAAAAGTCTAAGAAAAGGGAGTATAACAACCATATAAGATTTAAATTTCAAGTATTACAAATGCATATTTAACTAAATCTTTAATTTTCCATTAGTCTTACAATGACCAGGTACCTTTATGTTTTCATTAATCTATTTATTTCTTATTAGTCACCTGTCTTTTATTCTTACGAGTTTTGCTATTATTTGTTTTAATTCTGCTCCCTTTTACAGAACTAACTTATTGTCACCATCCTTTATCAATCTTTGTAGCAGGTGTGACCTTTTCTGTGTCAATGCCCTTCATTTGGTTGGCAGCACCAAACTTTTCCTTCATCATTATGCCCATGCTGTACTAAAAACTGATAGCCCTTTTTTCTTAGCACCTATTAACTAGAGAGTTAAGTCATATTGTAAAAGACTTTATTCAAAGCAAAGCAGAAAACACTCTGCATTTCTATTACTAGAATAAGTATCTGAGCATGTGAATTATTTCTACAGTTATTCCTATACATGTGATAAAATGTGTCCTTCACAGAATATAAATTTTCACCATTTCCTCAACTTCCACCTGGAAAGAACAAAAAAATAATTTTCAGAGGCATCTATTTAACAAAGAAGAATTACACAATAAATGTGACTACCATGCTATAAGTACAACAATCACAGTATTTGGTTATTTTACATGCAATACATTATCTTAGTACCTAAACTATGTCCATTCTTGGTGTAGAAGCAGGTATTGTTGATAAGGTTAACACAACAGCCTATGACATCACCAGTCGTAAAAGTTGGTCCATAAGGTTGTCCAGTTCCAGAAGAACAAAATGAATGTCCATCATCCCCATGATAACCATATGAATGTTTATCCCAGCCTAGAGAGAAAGTTCCAGTATATTTACAATGAACAGCAAAGTTCCTCTGTACTAGAGCTATTCACTAAGATTATGACAAGATAAGCAAAAAGAGGACTACAGACAGTACAGAGATAAAATCCCCAAGTGCACATTTAAATTCTCAACAAATACACTACATAATTTCTGTATTAAAATGCTGCTTACAACATTAAGGAAAATAAATCCAGCACACAGGACAATAAAACATGTATTAGAGAGGACTCCTGCCAGAAAAAAAAGCATAGCAAGACACATTTTCCATGCAAATTTCCTTTGCTAATAGGATTTTTGCTTTGATTTGGTTTACACACATACACACACACACACACACACACACACACACACACACTTTAATATAAAATGAAGATTTCTTTACTTTGCTTTTTCAAAACGTTTCCCCCAAAATTAATTTTTAACATTAGTTAACAGAATACCAAAAAATATAATCCAAGATTCACTTCCATCTGATTAATGGTTTTGAGAAACAGTTCTGCCAGCTCAATTCACATCTTCCTTAGTTTACTTTTAATATCAGCCTACATTCCCAGAATATTAAACAACTGAAAATGGGTTAAAAGGCAAGAATGTGTTGGGTAGCAAACAGAACCAACCACATTAAAATATTTAAAGTAGTTGATATGACTATACATTGGAAATTAAAAATACCAAAAAACAAAACAAAAAAAAGCATTGCTATATATGTTTTACTAGATAGTATAAAATTTATTTTAAAAACTCAGCTCCCATTTTGAACTCATAGGTGATTAAAAATACAGAAAATCAATGTATTTAACTATTTCAACTTATTACTTGAAAATTTAGCCACAAAGAGTTAGCTATAAAACTGTACTAGAATTCAATTACGACTGTACCTGGTAGTCTATTCATGTTCACACCTTGAGCAGAAAGACCAATTCCCATGTAACTGTTTAAGAAAAAAAAAAGAAGAAAAGCAAGTTATTATGGTTATATAATGGTTATGTATATATAAATTACCACTCTCAAACATTATCAGAACCAAGCCCAAGTTGAAATTTATAAGGTAGCTACAAAAAAGGTTATTGTAATTAATTAGGGCAATTTAATAAAAGCAAAAAAGGGCACTATTAAGCAATAATAAAACCCATACCACAGCAAATTCCTATAATGATCATTCATAAATACACCCAAAATACTGGTAATAATTATGCATTCTATTAACAACTATAAAAATGTTTCCAACCTATCTACACATAAACATTTAGGATTAAGACTTCTAACAAAAAGTATAAAGGGACCTGTGGAAGAAAAAAAAGAAATGTTAAATAAGAGAAAAATGTGTTTCCAAAAGGACACAGTAAAAATCCAGATGACAACAAAAAAGAACATGGATACATATTTGGGAAAAAATGTCAAATTCATTCAAAAATGTCTCAAATATTTAATGAAATTATACTAAAAAGTGTGTACTATAGGGTATCTATATATTGGTTTTCTACAAATGTTTGGGCAAATTGACAAAACTGACTTAAACATGAGACTCAATTACTAATTTATGAAACCGTAAGAACAAAATCATCTCCACGAAAGAAATACAAGAGGAAAAGGTAATTATTAAGGTATGCAATTCATTTTTAAAAGGTTATAAAATATTAATAAAACCTGATAAAAACAGTTCAAGGGAAAAGTACAAATACACTTATAAGTACTGATGGAAAAAAAAAAAAGGAAAACGAAGTAAAAGAGCAAACTGAATCCAATTTGTTAAACAGCTAATTGATTATAATTGTATCAAAATTTAAAACCGCATTTGACAAATTTCAGCTACCACTCCTAATAAAAACTGAAGTAAAATAAGAATAAAAGGAAACTACTTAAATATGACACCTTTTTCCAAATCTCATAAGAGCAAGTAAGATATTCAACAGTGAAACACTGAAGCCATTTCCATTAAAATCAGGAACATGGAGATGCCTACGATGGTTAAACAAGGTTTTGAATGTTTTAATAAAATATATCAGTCACAATATCTACAGAAACCATACAACAAGAATAAAGATCTCTAAATAAGGCTCAAAAATAATATATTAAAAGCTGTTAAAAAAAAAGGGTATACTATGTGTCTGGATAACTTGACAGCATAAAAATGTCTTTCTAAAGTTAATATATACATATATTGGGATTCAAGACAGATTCTAAATGAATTTTTAAAATGGGAAAGTAGGATTTACAAAGTTCATATCTAAAACTATATATAGAATTTTGATCAGAAAAAAATTTTTTTTAAACCACAGTTTTTGCCCTACTAGATTTTAAAACTCATAACTAACTGAATTCACAAAAACAGTATTATTAATAAAAGTATGTGTCAAGTGAGTCAGGAATGACAAAACATTAAGAAACAACATTTAGATATCTAGTCAAGAAGATTCATTAAGTTTGTATTGATTCAGCTCCTTTGTTCCAAATACAACACACAATGTAAGTACTTAAAAATTTAACAAAGGTTTAAGGCACAACAAGACTATTGTTGAGGAGAAGAAACTCAAAGCTGTGAGCAGAGACACTGCTATGTTAAGGGCAAAGGGAAAGTGGTAACCTCCTGACTAGAATCTGAACAAAGTTGTTGAATGAATCAGTGACTAAATTTGCAATAATTCTAATACCACCTTGAAGAAATAACCTGGAAACTCTAATGTAGACCTGGTTTTGGACTAGAGGCCCAGGAGTTAGAAAGCAAGTACAAATTGTAGTAAAGAGAAAAAAAATATAAAAAAAGACAGATGAACAAAATGAAGAAAAAATTTAAACTTCCAATCAAAATGAGGCCACAAAAACAAAATTCTAAAATATACCAAAAAATATATAAGACCAATAAAATATACAGCTGGAACATGAAATCATTCTAGGCGACATCAATCAATGAGCAGTATGACAAAAAAAAACAACTTTTAAATACACTTTGGATGTTTAAAAGGAAAAAGAAACCACTATCACTAAAAAATAACAGTGGAGCAACAATGGTTACTGAGTTAATTTAGCTAGTTATTTTCCACAACTGAAAAATGTTGTTGAATGCAAAGTATACACCAGATACAAGGGAAGATAAAAATAAATCCACATGTAGGCACACTGTAGATTATCAATAACAGACATAACCTAAAAGCTTCCAAAGAGAAAAGGCAGATTACATCTGAAGGAATGACAGTTTGACTGACAGCAGATTTTTTCCCAGCAGCAGCTGATGACAATGAACAATGGTACAATATATTCAAAATATTGAAAGTAAAGCACTGTCAACCCAGAATTTAATTCACAGGTAATGCATCATCCAACACTAAGGGCAAAAGAGTATCTTAAGACATCAAAAGCCAACACTGTAATATCCAGAGACCCTCAACAAAAGAACTATTTAAGGACATACTTTAGTAGGAAGACAGTGAAAACAAGAAATGCATGAGATGAAGAAATGATAATTAGCACAGGAAAGGATGAAATATGTTACTAAAATTAATTACTGATTGTAAAAAATACTGTTCCATTTTAAAAATCTACAATCCATATATAATATGCTAGAATACAATTCAAAATTACTTGACACATAAAAAGACACAGGAAAACAAGACCTATATTCAAGAGAAAAGACAGACAAAAGAGAATGACCCTGAGAAGATCAAGTGGTTGGAATTAGCAGATAAGGAATTTAAAGCAGCTGTTGTTATTATGTTCAAGGATGTAAATGCTACAAGGATGTATGCTTGTATTTCAACAAAGAAGAAACAATAAAAAAGACCAAATGTAATTGAAAAATTAAAAAAGGCGGCAATAAGGTGAAGGGGAATAAGAGGTTCAAATTTCCAAGTATAAAACAAATAAGTCGTGGGGATGTAATGTACAGCATGGGAAATATAGTCAATAATATTGTGATAGTGTGATATAGTGTCAGATGGTTGCTGGACTTGTGGTGATCACTTCTTTAGGCATATAAATGTTGAGTAACTATGGTATACACCAGAAACTAATATAATATTACATGTTAGCTATATTTTAATAAAAATCTTAAAGAAAAAAAAAAAAGACCAAATGGTAATCCTGGAGCTGAAGAGTACCTGAAGTAAATATTTACGAATGCACTTAATGACACACTGGAAATGGCAAAATGAGTAAGTAAACACGAAGACAGAATTAATCTGAAAAACAGAGAAAAAAGAAATTCAGAGAATAGAAAGGGAATCCCTGGTGCAGTATCAGAAGGTCTAACAGACACATAACAAGAATTCCACAAGGAGGAAAAAAGAGAATGGGGCAAAAAATTTGAGAAAAGTCACCTAAATTTGGGGGGAAATTTTTTTTACAGATTCAAGGATGGCAAACTTCAGCAACTTAAAAAAAAAAAGCACACCTAGGCACAAATCACAGTCAAACTGATGAAAACTAACAAAGAGATAATACTGAAAGCAGCCAGAAAAAAAGACAACATATTACTTTCACAGGAACACCAAGATGAATATTCAATGACTTCTCACAAGAAAATATGAAGGCCAGAAGACAGTGGAATTAAATATTTTAAAGTGCAGAAAGGGAAGTAGGAGACCCATGCCAACAAAGGCTGTTATATTCAGGGAAATATCCTTCAAGAATAAAACTGAAATAAAAACATTGTCAGATAAAAAATAACAGAATGTGTTGCCAGCTGACCTGCATTAACAAAAATGCTAAAGAGTCTGCTGAACCAAAACGAAATGATATCAAAAGATACTTGGATTATCAGGAAGAAATGAAGAGCAGTAGAAATGGCACACACATGGATATGTAGTAAGAATGTTTTCACTCTTTAATTTTTTGACAACGTATCCCTCTTCAAAGCAAAATAACATGTATTGTGCAGCTTGTAAGACTCGTAGATGTAATAGAATATGACAACTACAACAAAAGTGACAAGAGAAGAAGGTTAATGGACCTATACAGTTGCAAGTTTCTACATTTTATGTGAAATGATACAACATTCTCAGTAGATTATGAAAACAGGTATGTATATTAAAAATCTGTAGAGTAACCACTAAAAATTGCAAAGAGATATAGTTAAAAAGCCATTAGGTAAATTAAGATGGAATTCTAGTAATATATTAAAATGATAATATATGGAGCCAGCCGAGTGGCTAAGTTGGTTAAGAACTTGCTCAAGACCGCGAGCTCTGAGCAACACAGTCACCGGTTTGATTCCCACATGGGTCAGCTGCACCCGAGCTGAGCTGCCGAGCTGCCAACAGGTGGCAGGATGGCTCAGCTGGTGAGAGCACATGCTCCTTACAACAAGGTTGCCTGTTTGATGGGCCAGCCGAGTGGCGCGTTGGTTAAGTGCTGGCTTGGGATGCCAGAGGGCCCCAGTTCAGGTCCCACATATGAGGGCCAGTGACACTGCCCTCTACAGCTAAGATGCTGAACAACAGCTCAACCTGGAGCTGGGCTGCCGTGAGTCACCGGCGATGTCTAGGCTGCAGCCCCTGTGGCAGTGGGTTGCCATGGGCTACCGTGAGTAGCCAGCAGCCAGCATGAGCAGCCATCTAGAAGCTGGTGACTAATCTGCCTTGCCCGGGAAGAGCGCAATGATGGTGCCAACTCGGGCCAGTGAAGCAACGTCCTTCACAACTAGGCTGAAGGACAAAAGGATAGCAACTTGTCTGTTCTCCTTCCCTCAATTCTCCAGCGCAGTTTCCATCCCCCAATTCCCCAATAAAATTCTTCAAAAACAAAACAAAAACAAGGTTGCCTGTTTGAGATAGTGGACTGTGCTCGCCCAAAACTAAAAACGGAACTCGGCACCTTGAGCTGAGCGGCGTGACTAGACTTGGAGCTGAGCTTGCTGCGCCCCCCACAACTAAGATCTAAGGACAACTTGGCTGTTCCCCTTCCCCAATTCTCCAACACTGTTACCCTCCCCCAATT